TGTGACACAAGTAATATAGCGTTAGATGTGACACAAGTAATATAGCATTAGGTGTGACACAAGTACTATAGCATTAGGTGTGACACAAGTAATATAGCATTTGATGTGACACAAGTAATATAGCGTTAGATGTGACACAAGTACTATAGAATTAGGTGTGACACAAGTACTATAGCATTAGGCGTGACACAAGTACTATAGCATTAGATGTGACACAAGTAATATAGCATTAGATGTGACACAAGTAACATAGCATTAGGCGTGACACAAGTACTATAGCATTAGGTGTGACACAAGTACTATAGCATTAGGTGTGACACAAGTACTATAGCATTAGGCGTGACACAAGTAATATAGCATTAGGCGTGACACACGTAATATAGCATTAGGTGTGACACAAGTAATATAGCATTAGGTGTGACACAAGTACTATAGCATTAGATGTGACACAAGGAATGAAGCGCTAGATGTGACGTAAGTAACATAGGATTTTAGATGTGACTGAATTCATGTATACTTCACTCACTACTAAAGGTTCTCCCATATGGATATGAATGGTAGAGTTGATGAAACTTGAAATGAAATAACCTCACAGTTGTCTAAAAACTTAATTAAGGCTACGAATGATTTGGGCAGTATTAAATGGAAACTAACTGCAGGCAGGTGAACACCGACCGAAATTGCCACAAGTTTAAAACTTGTGTACACCACAATGTAACACTCTAATACAACCAAGTTTCTTCATCTGCACTTGCAGCTCGAGGTAGGAGCACATTGTCTGCAATCTCATGACCACATTAGTTCATGTTTTAATTGTATCCAGGTTGTTCTCTGGTATTGTGGAGCTTGGACCTGTCCATTGTCAAATGAGGGATGGGATTAACCGGGTGTAATCGAATCAACCCACCTTACCACAATTGCTGTGGTCGAACTGACCGTATACTATTTGGTTTGGTCAACAAACGTTGTAACGTTGACCTACCTCTATAGAAGCGCACTGAAGCTGTATTATTTTGATGATTCCTCTTTAAATAACGCCTGTGGTAATTATATAGAATATTACACTCACCTCAATTTGATGTCATGTTAATTTCCTTCGTGAAATAATATTGTTCAGTTTGCTCTCGGTAAACCTCGGGCAAACGTTAAATTATTTTACTCAGGACGTACACTTGAGGTTAAATTGAAACTGGTGTAATATCCTATAAGTACGTATGTTTTGTTTCATCGAAAGTGAATTTTGAATAAGGATTCCAGATGAACAAAACAACAAACCTGTACGGGTTTTGGAAAACAAGATGGCGGTCCCATTGAAAACACCACCGGTTTTGGTTTTCGATCTTGAATCCTTATTCAAATTTCATTTTCGATTATGTAAAACATATATATTTTGAGATTAGTGATTAAGGAAGAGATTGAAAGCACCAGGCGCGAATTTTAAGCATGGCAGTGTTCGTCACCACTGATTTCCTAAGCGCTTGACCCCTTGAAGATCCGGGTTAGAATTACTTTTCAGCAACCCATGCTTACCGTTACAGGCAACCCTGCTTGTCGTATAAGAGGCGACTAACGGGATCGAGTGATCAGGCACGCTGACTTGGTTGATGCATGTCATCGTATCCCAATTGCGTCGATCGATGCTTATGATGTCAATCTCAGAATTGTCTGGTCCAGACTCGATTAATTAGAGACAGCTGTCATATAGATGGAATAATGCTGAATGTGGCGTTAAACAACAGGCTGATCCCATAACCGAAAAATCACAAACACTTTATGTAAACAATTATTATTAATTTTACTTTAACAAAAAAAATTGGGTTTGTTGTTTAACGCCGCACTCAGCAATATTCCAGCTATATGACGGCGGTCTGTAAATAATCGAGTCTGGACCAGACAATCCACTGATTTACATCATGAACATCAATCCACGCAATTGGGATACGATGACATGCATCAACCAAGTCAGCGAGCCTGACCACCCGATCCCCTTAGTCGCCTTTTACGACAAGCATAGTCACCTTTTACGGCAAGCATGGGTTGCTGAAGACCTATTGTAACCCGGATCTTCACGGGTCTTACTTTAACAACAAAATCAATATGTTATCATGGTAGGCATTGTGCATACAAAATGACATCAGAAAAACAACAACAATTGTTTCTGCGGTGGTGGCGGAGAGGGGGCACTCTCAGACCCCGACCACACCCACCCCCATCCCATCTCCACACCCACCCCTACCCCACCCAACCCCACCCCACAGACACATGGACAAGTTTTATTTCCAAAGTTGCACAGTCCCATCTGGCAACTCCAGGCAGGGATGCATTCAGATTACAGCAGTTGTGGTAAGCTGAAGTTCATTGGGGAAGTAGTTGTAACAGCAGGCTACACATATCACCATCCGGGACATATGGCACGCTTGGTTTGGACGTAATGTAACATAACATATACATACAGGCGGTGTCCACTCATACTATCGATGTAACTGCATGTGCAGGCATAGGGAAACTCCATTTCCTGTGGGTTCCGTAGATTGCAGGGGTTTTGTGGAGAGACTGGTCATAGTTTGATAGATTAGGCACATTTTACTCATGTTAATCCCACTGACGAATGATAACATATAGATGTTACTGTTAATCATTCAACCATGCACCATAAAGAATTATGTACCATCATTCAGTCTTGCTCGACAACCATATAAGGATCTATACCGTAACGTCGCTGTTGCAGTAATTAAAGAAGTTGTTATCCATAAGTCAGTTTGTCTACTTTGTCATCCGTCAACCTCTAACAAATGTCTATCAAAAGAAATATGTGCGAATGATGCCAGGAAATCGGTGTTGTATCAAACACTCTTCGCGATATATCGCAATACCGGGTTAATAATGATACAACCATTCTGCATGATGTTGTTCTATTTAACATGCCGACTGTGTGTTTTAACAAGTGTATAACTATTGCAACAGTTAAATATCCCCAATAGTCTGAATGTTCACAGTCAACGTGAAAATGAATGCATGCATGCAAACTCCCTCACTCATGGGTGGAGAAGCAGGCATTACAAATTGTTATGCATGCTGGCGTTTTAAGTTTCTGTGCAGGCCATTTTGAACAATTAACCAGTACTGTTCAGCGTTTTAAAGTATCGAATTACATACATATCGAAAAAAAACACCTGTATATATGTGTCATCTTGTTACGCGTCGATTTCCAAATTGAAAGAAATATGTTTATCCAGAAATATGTATACGTAACAGAACTTAGTGTGAAACCAACAAACAACTAACAAGTGGTATACAATCAACAAATGTATTACAAAATTCACTAAGTTTAGAAATCAATCCAAATTACTGCACAACAATTACAATGGCTATATTCAATGGCAATAAATAGCATGATGGCAGTGGTTAGTATCCAATACAAAAATACAGCACAAGTCAGTGATAATAATATATAGTCACCCAGCGGCGACACTGCTGAAGCTTCTGCGATGTGATCGGCTAGGCAGGGAATCAGGGATGATGAGCTATCCTAACATTAAAGCTGGTTCCGAAATGATGAAAATGCGTAAGAGACACGTAAACACGCCCTTGTCTCACTACATGATATATACAGTCTAACAAGCTACTTTCTTTTTTTCTGCTACAGCTACAAAAACAGATATTATTTTATTCAAAACCATGAGCCTGACCACAATGTAAGTTTTGTGGCAGGCAATTTCTTTTTTTCTTTCCACCGTCTGAAGCATAATTATTTTTTCGAGACTTTTCGGGGACAGTTTATATTGTTTTCGATAAAATCAAAGCCCAAAGGGTGATAAAACAAATTGTACTTCAGTTTGCAAAATATGTTTTGTTTGGAAGTGATGAAGTGGTGAATATTTGGATTAAAACAAACGAATAACTTTCATAACTTTCTCGATTGTTGAGTATCATGTTGAACATCCATGCAATCTACCTATATATCGGTTGAACACGGTTCGGGCAAGATATGCGTAAGATATAATATTACCGGTATGGTTCTGTTAGCTCAGGTAATGTGTTAATTGTGTGTCTCTTTTAGTGTTTGTACGAACGTAGTCAATTGGCGTGGTATACATCAAATAAGTAATTCCCAGTGTGTGTGTGTGTGTGTGTGTGTGTATAGAAAACAGTTTTATTTGAATCATGAAAATACAAGTTGGGGACAAGTGATACTTGTACAAATATTTGCCCCCCTGTCAAATAAAAGTTAACTACGGCCTTGGTATAGAATGTAATATAAGCTACACATAGTTAGATACTTGGTACTATATAGAAAGAGATAGATGCCAAAACACACACACACACAGTACGACTGCATGGATGATGATGATGATGATGATGATGATGAAGAAGTTCGGACTGCTAGCTACTACTGCCACCATTTACACCTGCAGTCAGTATTTCGATAATGTGAAAGGGAACGTAACACCTAGCATAGTTGCGTCGGGTGTGCCTTTCTCAGTGAAAGCTCTTCCTATTCATGACATTTAGAATATATGGAATATTTTACCAAATAAGTACTTGGTACGATTGAGAATAATATACTTGCTGTTGGAAGGTGCATATTACGTAGCCCTAATTAACTGTAAATTTGGTCTCCTTTGTTGGTGCATTATTTCCGTGTGCATAACTGAATGCTAAGGTCAGGATTGAGTTATTGTCATTTGCTTATATTTACAACAAAATGGTGGACTGACACACGATACACTCTCTCCGTTTCAGCTGGCGCGAAATGGTATCCCTAGCAGACGAAGACCTATGTAAAGATTGTTCCATAATAGCAAACAAGAGGGGGTGGTAGGTTGTCTTTATCAAGCATTGTGTACGGAGTATATTAATTGTCCATATTTTCTCATAAATAAAGAAATAGGATTGTTAATTACACGATCTACGTTTTCTTCTCACACACATTTACTCTTTTAGGGCTTAATAGGTGATTCCGAAAGTCACCGCACCCCCGTCTCCATAATGGACTATGCCGCCCGGGGTACTAGTGCTGTCTGAAAGTTGTCGGCTGCCACAGTACCTCTTCAGTTGTTGCATTTGTTTTGTTGTTGACTATTGAATTTTTCCCCTGTTGAATCATGGTAAGTAATATTTTTTAACTTATGTACACTATTGGTATTTCTACTTATTATAGAATACACTTTTCATTCAGTATATTACGTATTTCCTAAAGAATTCGTTGAATATGCGTAGGGTCTGTGCATCGTTCGAAAAGCATGCCAGCGTGAAAGTTATCTGTGATCAAATGCGGTAAGCTCTTCACTTGGATCGGTTTTCTCCAAGAACTTGCTATATATAGTGCAGCATGCGTCGAAACGTATCAAATTTCTGCTTCCGTAAACCTTGAGCAGAAATATCCCCGTGTTCTATCTGTTCTGTGATTTGGACCAAGAAAGTTTCTAAAGTTTTTGTGAACATACAAACTTTAGGTTTGCAATAGTTACATCTAAGCTACGCCAAGTTGAAATCGTTAGCCAAGCTGAAGTCACCTGTTATCTGACATTAATCCATTTCTTATTAATTTCATATCAGTTTACAACCTAATTTAATTATGTAAAACTTGGGTATTTCTCCGATTGCTTCATGGAATATATTAGAATATTAAGATATGTGTTCCCTGTTGGGGAGAAAGCATGGTCACTTTGAAATCAACTTTAGTATGCATGAGGCTATAGGGCCTAGTCTTCTCAACAAGGGAACCATTTAGATCTTTGATGTACACGTCTCTGCTTCACTATAAAGTATTCAGTTTGGCTTACATGTCCAATTAGCATAGCACTGACGACTGTATTCACTGCCACATCTAAGCATGGTTCCATCAAACAGCAGGTAGGCTTAGGTAGGGCTCCCTCTGGTAAGGAAATAGGCCTGGAAGCCTAGAATTAAATGACTTTTGGAACAGTTACCAGAATCAAAGACAATAAAGTCTTGATTGGTACTTTTTTACCTGACTAAAATGTGAGGTGGCAGGTAGAACATTATTGCAGAACTTTCTAATCACCTAGAGTTGATACTGGGATGAATACAGTTAGGCCCCATAAACCAGATGATAACCTTTAGATTTAATGTCTCAATCTAATGTCAAAATTGATGGGGTTCCAAGATCAAAATACTACAGTAGAAATCTTAAAGGACCAACATGAACAAGGACTCTCTATCACTATTTCTATCACTGTCTATCAATCTAGCAGTTCATGATTACTTGGAGGCCGTTGACCCAGTCGTCCAAGGGGCTGCGATTTGCTGTGCAGAGGTGTGTCCCTTTGGCACGCCAGAAACCTGTGATTGTGGGTTCGAATCCCGGTTTGCCCTGATTATGTTTCTGGGTTTGTCAGCACCATACTCATGCTCGTGGGTTTCACCAAAGTGGTAAACGTCTGACACCTGCATCACTATATTTTAGGAATAAATATTTAGGAATTAAATAGAGAGAATCTACTGTGTATAGTATTAAGTTAAATAACACAAAAAATTACTTCTCACATTTTCTATGCCTTTGTGAAAATATATATTGGTGACACATAAAAAATTAAAATATTGGCTTTACAGTATATTTCTACCAGTACAACAAGGTTTCAGATCGGTTCATTATCTAGGACATTGACAGATTGAAATCCAAAATGTCCTGTAGGTATTTTTAGCAAGGGCTATAGGACTATTGGCAATTTCTAACGCTGATTTTTCAAATTTGGTAGAGATATAGAAGATGTCTTATCAAAAGTTGATATCTTCTTGAAAATCTAATGCCATTTGTCTCCAGCAAAATCGCTGTAGTACACTATACTGTGAAAATTTATTCATGTAAAGATACTGCAACTCAGTTAATCCTGATTCTTTTTGTTGTTGTTGTGTTAATGGATTTTATTGGAGGCAAATGGCTCTAGATCATATTCATTATTTTTTATCAACTTTTGATCAGATGGGACTTTCTTCCATATCACTACCAAACTAGAACTACTGACCCCACATTAGGCCGTATACCGTCAGTAAAAATCCAAGATGGTTGTTACTGACCTAATACGAGACCGTATACCATCGGTAACAGCCATTTTGAATTTTCCAACACCCACCTCACATATTTCACATGGAAATTCTGGTACAGAAATTTGTTATTTGACACTGTTTTATGTTTTAATATCATTAATTGTGATGAGCAAAGACATTATTTATGAAAGAAACCACGTTCATGACTTTATTTATAAAAATTATAGAGAGAAAAAAGGCTTACAACAGAGGTCACTGAGTTACAAATAGCAATGTCATAGAACATACTGAAGGATGACGTCACAAACAAGAAACGTGATGCCCATGACATCACATAGCAATAGAATAGATAGCAGCCGGTCGTTAGGGAAAATCGGACTGCTATAAAGTTACAGTGGCCTGCAGATTTCTGTGAAAAATGATAAAAATGATAATTCTATCCATTTTAGCTATAGAACTTTAAACATTCGCATTTAGTTAATTATATATTCCATTGTTAACGTTTATCTTTGCATTAGAGTGTTGTATCAGAAACATTGTACTGGTCCTGTTGTTTATACCGGTTGTAAGTGTCAAGTTTTCATTTTGACTTGACATATGCGACAAAGATACCAAATAGTGTAAACTTTTCGGCATAATAAATTTGTTATGGTGTCTTTAGTTGCTGTATATACGGTGTCATATTAGGTTAGCAGGAAAATGTTGGTCTCGGCTCATGCCTTGTCCAATATTTTCCTGCTGACATCATATGACACCATAACTAATAGAGTAAGGCCTGTAAGTGTAACTAATTTTGAGAATTCTATTTTTTCTGAAGTTAAAACTCAAGATACAAGTTACATATGACTCCTTTATTTTTTCAGTGTTTGCTAATTTTGTCATAATTTTGACCCTGTTAGCATGAATTTGTAAACGACGGACTCGGTCACTTTCTAAGTAAACTAAATAATACCAAATGAATTTGAAAAACATTAAGGATGGCATAGACTATAGATATATTAAAAATACCTCTTTTTACATACATTTGAAATGCACAAATATCACCTTATAGTGTATCTGATTTTGTGTATTTCTTTATATAGTTTGTTTATATACAGTGTACACATGTTCACCTATTTATGGGGATTTTGTATGTAGTGCAATAATATTATTGCATAGTGGTTTTTGAAACATTAGGAAAATTCATGGAGGAATGGTGACATTTCTTGTGGACTACCCTCTTTTACCATTAAGAAGATGGCAACCCTATAGCAGATCATTTTTGCAAACTAGGGACAATATATATTAATTTCTAACTATGTTTAGCAATGAGACTTACAGACTGCTGCCATATAGCTGGAATATTGCTGAGTGCGGCGTTAAACAACAAACCAACCAACCAAAAACTGATTCAACCTAACATATCCCAACATCACCATTGTCACCACGGTCACCACCCAAACAAATGGGTCATGCACTGTAATCCTGTGCATAGCGACCTACATGGCCTTATACTACCCCCGCCCAATAGTAAAGGTATCCTAAGGACTAGTAGAAATTTGTCATTATAGAGGATTTTGCTATATGTTATCATCATAAGGGCTAGTGAACTGAAACTTTTAGTTTCTACCACTGCACATCATTCTCTTTCTCATCGCCACCTTTGGGGACGTGTATTGAACACTAGAGAATATATTTTTTGCTTTTGGGGGGGATAGCTTTCCCTGCTTTATTTCAACATCAACAGCAAAATGCCAGACCTGTAAAATACAGACCATACTTATTCTTTAGCTGATCCACATGATTTGCCAGTAGGACCACAGATGCTTACATTGATCTCTACTTACTTAGGAGGCCTTCCATACTTATTTACGCAAATGTCATAAGCAACATCCATGACGCTGAACGTGGGCCTTCCATCCACTAAGTAGCCTAAATATGTCACCAAGCCAGCTGTCTCATCTACTGTCACAATCATTAATCAGCGTTAGAAATTGGCACTAGTCCTATAGTCCTTGCCAAACTTGCTTAAGGTATCATAAGGACTATTAGAAATTTGCCATTTTTTAGGGTTTTGCTATATGCTATCATTATAAGGACTAGTGGACTAAAACAGTTAGTTTCTATCCCTGTCGATCCTCCTGCATCTGCCATAACCTCTTTATTAGCGGAAGACTGTGGTTCTGACACCCGTTATGCCTACGGAGGATCAGCCTGCAGCCACAGACGTCCATCCACAGTCATGGCTTAAGACAGCTTATTGATGCCAGTTTCTACTAGCACTCCTGTCGAAGATCCTAGCACTGCTGTCCTTCCGCAGAGAATCCCATCTCATCCCCCAATGATCATGTTCTTGACGACCAGAACACCTGGAATATAGTCACTTTGAATCAGCACATACTCCCTATGTTTTCTCTGTTCCTTCAAGGCACAGTTTCTGGTACTGCCGCACTTCCGCATGGTCCCGATCACCCTTCTTCGTACAATCATTCGACTGGAGAATTACTGTATGTATTTTTAGCCTTGATTGGGCCTAGATCTTCAGACAAACATCTCTGCGTCAACAACTCGAAGTTCAAAGCAGTGATGTTAGCAGTTACAGGCTGAGATCCTCCATGCATCACAGCTCATGATCCAGTTAGACAATCTCTGTCGTCTGGTACATCAACAAGATGAGCCCCTCCAAGTCGACGTCTTCATTGTCACTGATGCTCAACTTCTTTCAGTTGAACAACTCTCTGAACATTCAGGTCCAAGCATCTTTCCGGGATCCACATTGTCATAGCCAGGGCTCAATATTTCTTGAACCCAGCTTGTCCTGCAGGACAAGAAGATAATATTTTGTACTTGTCCTGCAATATTTTCACTTGCCCTGTTAAGTGTTATAAAGTTTATATGTTCTCAGTCATTTACATCGACAGTACTTAATAATTTTGAGTCCCTGCTATCTACGATCATCTCTGCCCATTCAAACTCACTCAACCATGCATCTTGCACAGTTCGTTTTTTCTTTTTTACAGTCTTAATCTGTTTTGAAGAAATGTTCCTTTTTTCGGTCTGTTTGTTAATTAAATCATGTTTTTTTGTCATAAACCCAGTCATTCACGGTCCATATGTCAGCCATTTCCCTCGCAGACCCCCTTCAAGGTCTAGTAGTAGAGCGTCCACCCGGAGAGGCGCACGGCCTGAAGGGGCTAAAACAAGGACTGGTCTGCTTGGAGTCCATATGCAGTGATGTTTCCATGTTAAACTTTGGCATGGTATCTCAGTGGGCTGGTACTATAAAATTGGCATCAGTCCGGACTAGTACAAGCAGCCACACACGTGCAAGCACGTCGCTATATAAATCACAAAATCAATCATCAGCTTTTCACTATAGGTTTGACATTTGAGTGTCAGTAACAAGTCTCTCACAAATTGTTGTTTTTTTTTTTTAATTATCTCCCTTTGAAAACTAGTTTCTATACTGGCTGCGCAAACACACTTCTGTTTATTTCTGTAACAGACAGTTGCCTAGTATGTCATCTATTTATGATACTAGAGACATGTATTTACTTAGATCATACGAGAGATGAAATGTCTTTACGTTCGAAATTATCTTGCATATTTTATTGAAAATGATGAGGTATGAATTAATACAATTAAAATGTTTCGGTGCATTTGCCACCGCTACCAAGTCCAGTTGTCAACCTCTTTGCAACCAGATTCTACTCTAAGCTCACCATCCCAGATCCTCAGGCATGGGATCTTTACCATCCTGTCGTCGGTGTCCATCCTCAACCAAGATGGCTACCTCGAGGCTGCGCCACCACTTCAGCACGCCCACATAACTTTTCATCCCACTTTCTATGGCGGCCACAACGGAACTCTTCCTACCACAGTCTCCTTTTGGCTCTGTTCAACTATACTTCCAGGCCAACACCTTCGCTGGATTGCCTCCTCCTGTTACATTCAATCACCGAGACTTGAGCTGTCACCTCTACCGTGGCCTTGCACAGCAATTACACCCTGTACACCATCATGGAGGGTTGTTTTTCGAAGTCAGATATGGTTTTCGCTTCCCACTATCTACGGGGCATCTGAGTCACCGACATTCAGGACCTCTACCAGTTCAGTCCCTTGGTCCTGTCGCTCCCACAGCCCAGTACTCTGTATTGTGTACCTATAGAATAATCACTGGAACAAACTTGCTTTGTCTGTTGTCAATATTCAGGTTCCAGACTTGAGTACCCTGTGGAGGGTGATCGACCTCATCGTAGAGATTCCGATCTTCAGCACAGAAGCTGTTTTGACGGTGTCCCAAAACTTTTACCAGCCCACCTCTTATTGGCGGGAGATGTCTTGCAGATCGGTTATAAGACATAAGCTGAACAGACTTCTATTCACAGCTGCATGGTCATTCACGTAACGATGTCCAAGGGTTAGAACTAAACTCAAAAGCTTTACTAGCCCGGGTATACATAAAATGCCCATGTAGGGTTACAACAATGGGGAAATTGAGAAATTTGTACTTGCCCAAAGGAATTTTTACTAGCCTCTGGCTAGCGGGCTAGTGTTAAGTTCTAACCCTAAATGTCCTTCGTGGAAGCATGTTATATCCAATTTCATGTTGCAGCAGTAGAAACTAACATTTTTAGTCCACTAGTCCTTATAATGATAACATATAAGCAAAACCCTTTAAATGGCTAATTTCTTCTAGTCCTTGTGATACATTAACTATTGGGCAGTTTGGCAAGGACGACAGGACTATTGCCAATTTCTAACACTGATGTTGTCATGTCTGACTTGCATAAAGGGGTTACATTGACTGTTTTGGTATATGACTTCATGTCTTTATGACATGCAACAGCTTATGTTTGTATCACTGTTTAGCTCCAGCTTCCTCGTGTGCGTCTCTCGTTTGTAGTCTGGCTTAGGGGATCCGTGCCCAACCGTGGCATAAATGCATTTGTAATATAGGATAAGTGTAATTATTTGTAAATTTTACATTAAAAAGTATATTCATGAATTCATAATACTTATACTTTCTCACATGTGGCTGTATGTGCCCTCTGACCATCCCCACATCACAGCTCCTCTAGCAAGTCAACTCGAAGAGAGAAAAGGTGGCAGCAGGGGTAGTCAGGGGATAAGGTAGTGCAGGTCGCTATGCACAAGATTACATTTATTTGGGTGGTGACCATGTTGATGCAGGGATGTCTTTCGTTAAATTTTGTTTTGAAGAGGGAAAGCTTTGTTCCAGTGTTAGAAAATGGCACTAGTCCTGTAGTCCTTGCCAAACTGCTAAATGGTAAAGGTATCATAAGGACTAGTAGAAATTTGCTCTTTTTAAGGGTTTTGCTATATGTTATCATTATAAGGACTAGTGGACTAAAACTGTTAGTTTCTAACGCTGTGTTCAAGCACGTTTCCACAAAAGGATTGAAAGAAAATGAAGAAATGCATAGTATAAGAAAGGATAAGTATTATAAGTATACAATTTAATTTACAATTTTCAATATCTTATAATCTATATGTATCATGTTTTTTTCGGGAGACATTTATTTTCTTTATGATCTTGTTAGGAATTGAGGATTCCATTTTTATCTTTCAAAACTATCAATTAATAATGAAAAGGCTATTAAACATGGTAAAAGTCAGGGATATGATTTGTCATTATTTGGTCATGTGGTTCATCATTTTCACAAGCCATCTATATGATCGATACATAAATATCACATTTTTGGTGTTTGTCTGGTCAATGTCTGAAATGCCACTTTTGGGCTTTGTATAAACAGAATTTTGATGTAAATACCGTTCAGAATTATTAACTTAAGGCAGAAAGTCTTTCTGAAATGACGTTTGAGTCCCAAATTATGCTATTTGCATCTGACACATCAAGCAAGGAAAACTTCAACCAATGTAATATCAGTAAATAATTTAAAGGGTGATAAGGGTGAAACGATACATCGTGTGTGACGTGATCGGTAGATCGCAAAACTCACCTTTCTTTACAGCAACCACGGTAAGATTACCGTTATTGACACCATGAAACGAACATCAGTTGCCAGAGAATGGATACATATATATTATAAATGCCATACTTTGACTTGGCAATTTGACTATTATATGTCCTTTTTATGAAAATTTCAAACATTCCTGAGGTATGCCCATACAGTACAATGTTAAAATGCCCCATTGTATTTCAAAATGTGGGCCTTTTTTCAAATTTAGGGGCTAAAAAGCATGAGGCCCCACACTAGAATTATCCATGTATAGAAAAAGCTGCAACTAAAGCAACACGATATTGGAATACATTATTCCTGATAAAACAAACATTTCAGATACAATTTCTTCCAACCATTGCATCAAAATTCTTTGAAGTTGTATCATGTGTATCATATGGTACTTTTTATCTGAATCACCAGTAGATTGGGAGAAATCGTGTGTACAGCTGATTGCTGTTTCCGGCTTAGTTATTATATGCACAGTAATCTTAATCTTTGCAATATAACACAATACTTTAGAAAGCAGGAAGTACAATTTAAATGGTAATTCATTATGTCATTGACCAAGTTTGTCATACCTGTTCGTTAACTTGAATTTGATGAAGGGATACAATGTTGTTGTTTTTTAAAGTGCATAACACTCGATAAAAAAAAAATTTACACTATGAATCATAAACAACTGTTCTAATGTTTTTCCCCCGAAGTCTGAAACGTACATTGTAGAAAGTGTTAGGTAGTCAGTAGGGTTATGATTCACCTGCGTATTCGGTGAATTGATTCGTATCCATTCATGAATTGAATTCGTTATGCGTTGCCATCAGAATTGAATATTTATGAATATGCAAGTATGTGCATTTACATACCCTGTACCTAAAAATATCCATAAGAACATATTATATGCATAGATTTGTTCAAAGACAACACTCTTATAATATTTAATTTAACATTTTTGTTAATGTTTCACTGAATATAACAAATAATACATTAACTGCTGACTTGTTATTGTATTCGTGAATTAATATTCGTATTCGTTACCCTATATTAGTGATACAAATCGTATTCACCTCATACTGTATTCGTTGCAGCCCTAGTAGTCAGAGCATGTAGCGTTGTGTTGGTCATCTGACCCATATGACTCCACCTCCGTTAAGACTCAACAACAGGAAACATTGTCACTGGCCAGAGGGAATCTGTCCCCTGACAATGTTGACATTTAAATTTTTCTGAAAAGGAACCTGTGAAGTTGAACTATTCAGACTGTGAAGTACATTGATTATTTTCTGGTGTTTTGAAATTTGAAGTGTTTTGAACGAAAGTTAGAGAAAGTTTCACTTGGAAGCTTAATTTCAGTAGTCTTGTTATTATAAAAGAATTTTGACTGTTCCAAAATCATGAAAGGTCCAATCTTGACATGCTTGAAGTCTTGAGACTTAGTAAAAGCTAGAGTACTGGAGCAGTTAGTACTGTCATGTTATTTTTGTGTGTACATTGCGTATCGAGATATGTGATAGTATTGTATCATGACCAGAATTTCGAGATACGTATCGTCTTGTGACCTTCCTGTATTGTTGCAGCCCTACTTGCTGACATCAAACTATAACCTTGCCAACTTTGCAGTGTGAGAAATTGGCACTAGTCCTGTAGTCCTTGCCAAAGCCCCAGCAGTTAAGGTATCATAAGGACTAGTAGAAATTTGCCATTTTAAAGGATTTTGTTATATGTTATAAGGACTAGTAGACTAAGACTGTTAGTTTCTATGGCTGCTTGGTCAAGGTCACAAAAGAAATTTGGTGCTCTGATTGTCTGAATCTTACATACTTTCAGCATGTCCAGGTTTGATTGATGTTTCAACAGTTTGTGGATCGGTCTTTTATCATAAGAGTTTGGAACCAGTTAGGACATTGTACAGAACAGTGTATTGATTCTCTGAATCACTGCATATTGTATATGTAAAGTTTTTATACTGTAGTGTTTAAGCAAACAGTTAATTACAAATGTGTAAATGTTTTCTGCCATGGCTACAGATGTGTCATGGGCAGTGTTTGGTCTTCATGACTTGTTTAACTGATGTCTTATTGGTCTTTCTTCCAGTCATCTGCTGATGTTTCCCCTTGCACCACCCCCAGTGGCACACCCCTCAGTGGTAACCATGCACCAAAGTTTGGTACAGTCATTCCAAATAGGATATTTGTAGGGGGTATTGCGGCTAACGTAAGTAGTGCTGTAAGTATGACAACTTTATGTATTTAGCTTGCTGCCTTGTGTGAACCCTGCATGATAAATTTGTAGCTTTCAATTGTCAGTGGCCAAAGTCAAGTAAATCTTTCCCAAGGACCAGTGGAATGTACTTATGGCAGTCTACTGTTATTCTAGGAACGATGTCGAAAATATCAAAACTTGGAAACTGAAATTGTGTAAAAGCTTATGCAACTTAGACAATCCTGCTGGATACATTATATTATATCTTTCTGTATTATTATTATTATTATTATTATTATTATTATTATTATTATTATCACTTTTTGGTCAGGACCATTAATGATCCAACAAGACAATATTTATAAACAAAACTTACTCAACAACAAGAGTTGCTGTGACACCAATATTTTAGTGTATTTTTCAAACAAGTAAAGTTTGGTTTTCAATATTGTAGTACATGTATGGAATCAAGTCACAAAAACGCAACTGCTACAGAAAAGCATGCATTCCATGCAAAAGTTGACTTTTATACAAGCCCCATGCATTTCACTACCCAAGAATGGGTATAAAAACGTGCGTTCTTATTAAATGTCACAGGAAATTTTGTTGTTCAGTATATATAAATATAGATATATAGTTTTACTTATCCTGCATTTCCTTAATGCATTTACTGCTTACCTTACGTCAAAAGAGACCGCGGTGGGAAAAAAAAAGAAAAAGCTGCTTCCATTTCAAGTCTGCTTTTTTTTAGGACCATCGCTGCTGTCATGTGACTGGGTGTAACTTCACATCAAATCATATTATTTTTGTTCACCTCTTTCTCCTTCGAATTTCTTAATTACTAGACAGGTCACTCACAAACAAATTTTACAGCAGTCCTGTCATGTGCCAGGATGATGGCTCAGTCCCTGGATGCTACCGTCCGCCAGTCTCCGGTTATTACCACCCAACTCTTGCTGTGGAGTGGAGCATTGTCCACGGTAATAGTGACTGCTGACATTCACTCTCCTTCAGGCTCATCTGTGAGTATCGCACCTGTTTCAAATTTTCAGGCATCCTTGGCCCCCATTGTGACGGTCCCAGCAACGCCGGCACTTGCGAATTAATACTTATGACACCTCTACCGAATTAGTGCAGGCACAAGCCATGATCCAGTCAATGACAACGTTCCCAGACGCTCCTAGATGACTACAGCCTCATGGCTTCCAGCTTATCCTGTTATGTCATCGACGCAGGACCAGCTAGCGCCAATGCATCAGCACTTATATGCGTTTTATCATGACATAACTGTAGGTAGTCCAAACGCCTGTATCTGATTTCCACCTACACCCGCAACATCGACTGTTTTTTCTTTGTGGTAGCAGTCTATGACATTTAGGCATCCAGCTCTTGCCCTGATGTACGTGACATCAGCTTCCAGCATATAAAACAATCCTAGCTTTTACATTTACGTCAGTGCTTACGGTATCAGATGCCCAGTGATTTACTCCTACCACATTGACAGCAGTCTCTGAAACAGTGATATCAAGTGTTAGTGGCAATGCGCACCCAAAGCTTGCAAGTTCATCTAAGCCCTCCACGTCAATGGATAGCTTTAGCTTTGGTTTTCCCAATTTGGGCCTAACAAGAAAACCTCAATAAGACCAAAGACATTCGTGTAAACTACTTAAACTGGTAAATTTTTCTGCATACAACAGAGTTTTTGATAAAAGAATTTCAACTTTCAGCAGTGCCTGGCCTCATGCTGAGGAATCTGAAAAGTTTCCCATTAATTCTCCCATAGAGTGTTGTATGGTCAACATTGGCTAAACGATGCCATGGAGAGGCGACGGTACTCTTAAGAATTTGTGTCATGTAGCGTCTGGTAGACAGCTATACCAAATTGAAGAGATTCACACCTCCAAGTTCAGTTAGACATTTGACAGAATTGTCATACGCTTCTGGGTACCCACCTGTTGTGATCATAGGGCAGATCAATTTGCGCATCAATCTCGGATTCACCACTATGAACTATGAACTGTGCGTTGTGTGGAGGTCGTACCTCGCCTCCGACATTGCAAGGATTGGAGGTTATTGCACAGGGCAAGAACTGTAAACACTGGAATTAGGTCTACTAACCTAAGGGGAGAGGTGCAGGGTCATTGTACCAGGTTGGTTGGCATGCTTCCTGGTACGTAATGCTGCAACCTTTTGATCAGGCGTCTGTCGCTGTATATGAATGTGACTGAGTCACTATCTTTGGCAGACCGCCGGTGTCAACATGTGCAATTTTGAGGCACACACGGAGAACGAGGCAGCTCCCTTCATCGTCTCCCTGATATAAGACTGTTAGTATTTGTGCAATGTCATACCTTGGTTATCAGTTGAAAAGCGCCTACATTTAGTTTACATGGAAGCTTGTAGTAGTTCGCTTACGAACACTATTTTTTCAAGTCTTGTCATGACATGACGCAACTAGAAGCCCTTCCGTAGTAGATTTTCAACTTTTCCAAAACTTGGAAGACTGCAATTTGCTACCCGCTAGTCAACAGCCAGGGGTTTCAGGGTGTTTCTCACATCAGACGCAAAGGCCTCTTTGCAGCCATCTCTCTACCGTCTGAGGACATTCTCAGCTGGTGGACAATGGAGTCCAACGTGTCTTTATTTGGGCTAGTTCCGAATTTACATCTGTTCATAGACGACTTCTGCAGAGGTGCTCATTTACAGGGCCAGACAGCCTCAGGGTTGTGGTCCGGCATGCAAGAGAATTGTCACTTTAACAATGTACAGTTTGGGAGGGCTTATTCTGGCCATCTCACATTGGCAGGAGCAGCTACAGTCCACCCAACTCACAATATCCACCAACAAAAGCAGGGTGGTGTGGCGCCTGCACAATAAAGAAACAACACACTCACTCCCTTTTGCAACAGAAGTTCAGTTTCTTTCATCTAGTGGATCGTCTGGGACTAAAGTTCATAGTCCAGCACGTCCCCGGGTGTCTCCCACTAGAACCACCAACTTAAGACGCATGTCTCCCCGTTACCGGATCCGCAGACTTGGGCGTTTGACGCATTCAGCGTCCCCTGGAAAGAGCTAATAGCGTACGCTTTTTCTGCTTCTTGTATTACTGCCCAGGATGATACTAAGGATCCAAATACAAGAGCCTTGATCTGACTTTTGCCGCACCTTGGTGGCCGGTGAGGAGGTGGTTTCGTCGACCTCAAACGACTTCGCAGAAGACGATCCACTGCCCCTCCCAGAGTGGTCCAACCTCATTCACACTCACAACAAACTACCTCGCCCAACACCAGGCAGATTTCATCTGTACACTTGGTTCGTCTTTAAAAGAAATCATGTGCCAAGGGCTATTTGGAGCGGGCAGCTAAGGACATTGCATACCAAAAGACGCTTAAATCATAGTACAATTTCAAAGGTCATTGGTAGTGCTTTAGTCAGTGTTGGATCTTCCGGGAAACACAAAATGACGAAGGCCTCAAAAGCTACAGGCCCTACTACGCTTCTTCAGGCTTGAGGATCAGAAGACAAATTTCCGTCCCCCTGCATGGGATTTGAATGTGGTACTTTGAGGTTTGCACAGGCCTTCCTTCAAGCCCCTCAATTCATCCTCATTTTATGACCTCACCAAGAAAACAATTTTTCTCTTGTATTTAGCCACTGCGGCGCGTGTGAGCGAGTTACATGTGCTTGACATCACCTGTATCCGTTTTTCAAGCATGATACGCAGGGGTGGTACACCTCGGGTTGTACTGGGTGCGGTAATTGAGGTAAGCAGTAAATGCATTAAAGAGTAATGCAGGATAAGTATACAAATGTAAAAAATATTTAGATTTTACTAATTCCTTTTTGTCAGACTACTAGTATAATCAGTATTATTGAAATGAAACTTGACAGTGTGACAAACTAATAATTATCTGGTTGTGCAGACAACAGAGGCAGAGTTGAAGCAGTTTTTCACAGCGTATGGAGCTGTCAAGGATACCAAAATAATTGCAGATAGAGCAGGAGTGTCAAAAGGGTGAGTTCTGTATGAATCTGTCATATGTGGGATAATAACTGTGTATTTACGTTGCAAGTACCAGACCAGTCATGTTATGTCCAATTACTATCAGCCCAAGAACATTTCCACTTGCCAGGGGCTAATGGGCAAGCATAACACTGGTTAAGACCTGCATCACTTTTGGCTTTCCTGCAAATTAAGCTGACATGAGATGATATAACTTGGAATAATGTCCAAGTAGTGTCAAACCCAACTCAGTAATTGACTTGTATGGATGCCATGGAAATCAAACTTTGCTTCTGAAGTAAATACTTTCAGCAAAATTGAGAAAGTCATAAGGATGGTTTACACTTCATGGATGATATTTTTGTTGCAAGCACTGGATGTGCATTGATTGGTCATCTTATGAAATTACTGATCTGGATGAGTGTTCATGTAATCATATGATCAATAAAGTTTATTTGCACCAAAATGTATTGAACAATAAACGGGGGAACAAGTGGCTCAGTTGTCTAAGACCCTGTAATTTGCTGTGCAGAGTAGCTTCCCTTGGGAATGCCAGGAACCTGTGATTATGGGTCCACTAGTGCTCATAATAACATATAGCAAAACCCTTAAAAAGGGCAAATTTCTACTAGTCCTTATGATACCTTAACTATTGGGGAATTTTGCAAGGACTATAATGACTAGTGCCAATTTTTAATGCTGGCTTTTAATTTGGGCAGGTGGAGGAAAATTTCATGCTGCCGAACAGAAAAATTACCAGCTACAGGCAGGCATTCAGTTATTTAAGACACTGAATCAGATGTCACCTAATTTGCGAATGACAAATTGGATCATAATGCATGTTTCTAGTGGTCAAGTTTAGAGGCAATTATGGAAGAGTGGGGAAGGGTCAGAGGATGTATTGTTGAACACAAATAATGTTGATCAAGTTTTGATGTTAATTGTGTTTCAGATATGGATTTGTAACATTTGAAAATCAAGAAGATGCAGAAAGGATTATCAAAAAAGAAGTAAGTCCACTCCCCACAGATCAATCAATAACGTTGGTCAGTTTAGATACTGTATTTGCATGTCAAAGTACATGCTTTAACAGGGTTTCAGATGGCCGTCGGTCACCGGTCATAGACCGATAAAATTTCTATTTGACCGATGGTTTGTTTAAGTTGTTGGACTTTTGACCGATAGAAAAAAGCTAAGCAAGCCGTCACACGTGTCCTAATTTCATGATTAAATAGTAGGGATTATTCCACTCAGGGTATCGATTTCAATGCCCGATGAAATGCTCTCATAAAGTTTAGTGCCAATCGAGCGAATGTACAGTACACATATTGTCCTGTTTTCGATCCGAGCTTTCAGCATCATATACAGTGAGTGTTCTCTCGCTATTGCGCCCGTCAATAATAGCGCTTACTCGGTTATAGCGGGCGGTAAAGCATGGTCCCAAAATTTACTTATGTTTATAATAAACTCAAATTTTCCAATGACACGATGTTTTCCCCCCATCTAAAAAAAAACATAATCAACTGATCACCGCGATCACGTAACACCGGAAACACCAGTCAACAAATCCGAACTGAAGTACGCAATTTATTCCTATTATTATAATATCTGGTTATAAAAAGGTGTTCATTGTTTATCTGGACTTATGTTTGCAATATATCTTATAGATTTTATTAAAAAATTTATTCAATAATTATAATAATTTTGGCGAAATCGTATGCGAAGTGATCGGTAGATCGCACAACTCACCGTTATTTACAGCAACCACGGTCAGATTACCGCTATTGACACCTTGAAACAAACTTTATTTGCAAGAGAATGGATACACATATCATAAATGCCATACCTTGACTCATTTAAAGTCATATTTGAGGCAATTTGACTATTAAATGTCAACATAACACTTTCGCAATCGAAATACATGTAGCGCGGGAAGTCCCTTCGGTGACTGGTCAATTTGTTCAATACGTAAATAATTAGATCTAGCAATGTGAAATCTCCGCAAAAACGCTGAAAATCACGTTTTTTTAAAACAGTGGTCCTTGAAAAGAGTCATCTTCCTCGTAAAAATATAATCAAAGATTTAAAAAAATACTCCGAAAATATCGTGTTTTCGGAGAAACGTCGCGGATTGTCCTGTTTTTGGTCAGAACTTTCAGCATCAATTATGCCTTTATTATTATTCATGACACAATACTATTATCGTCGGATCATAGGTTTTCAGACATCATACGTTTTCAATCACGAATACTTGCACCATAACGGTAGGTGTCACACAGAAATTATAAATGCTCAGATGATGGCTTGATTCTAAGATAAAGTTGTCCTTTATGAATAAGTGAATGAGAAATTTTACACTTACAGTTGTTCATGTGATCAGCGAGAAAACTATGACTGTTTTATCAGTGTCCGAAAACCCATAACCCTGGATATGTGTTGAAATAATGTCATGTTTGCAATGTTTTTTTCAACAAAAGGTAAGTAAGTACAAGGCTATTTAAAAAAATATATATTTCAACATCGGGAAAGGTTAGACATTGCACGCTTGTGACAGTTGTCCTTGTGTCTGGGGGATGGGGGGGTGAAGTTGATGGCAGTATTGCTCCCAGACCGGCGGGTAGCTGGGTGTGCGGAAGCTATGCCCGATTTTTTAAAAGTAACTTCGACGAAATTTTACTGCATCCGGAATCTTTGTTTAAGTGACTTGTTGACTTTTGCCCCTGACTTATTTCATTTCTTGGGTCCAAGTCATTGACCTGTATACAGCTTTTTGTGTCAAAATCACTGTTTAACATGACTTGGATATTTCAAAATCTTTCTCCAGTAAAATGTAAATGGTTGTTGGGTTTGCTTGGCATTTTACAGTTCTCGTGAACACCTGCAGTTACGTGGAATAATAACATTTGTTAGCAATTTTCCAGCTATATGACAGCAGTCTGTAAATAATCGAGTCTGGACCAGACTATCCAGTGATTGACATCATGAGTATCGATATAAGCAATTTGGATAAGATGACATGCATCAACCATGTCGGGGAACCTGACCGCCCGATTCCTGTTAGTCACCTCTTAAGACAAGTATAGTCACCTACGGCAAGCATGGGTTGCTGAAGACCAAAAATAATCCAGATCTTAACTGGTCTCTTTTTTATGTTATATATTTGTAATTTTTATAAGTATATTATTTTCGTAGCATTTGATTTGCACGGTTCAGGAATTATAACATACTGGATTAGACAAAACTACTAAAATGCGAAATTCCCACTTGATGTATTGTTGGGGAGACTGCTTGTATTCCGTGGCAATTTGGTGATGAGTATTGTAATAGGCAAATTATTGAAACATTTTCTGTTAAATATTCTTTATTGGTACATATGATATTACCTAAATATATTGATTGGATGCTGCATGAGTCAAAGTAACTGGTTCTCTTCTTTCTATCATTAGCTTGGGAACTCCACTCACAGGAGACTTTCTATTTGAACATGAAGTTTGTACGAACAGTAAATTACATCAATTTTCTTTTTTGAAACAATTTTAAGCTATTCCATTACAACTTTTATTGCGGCACAAGTGTCTGGTACCAGGCTAAACAATTGTCATGTGATTATTAAGATCTCATTTCTGTAGCAGGTGCTAAGGATGCTGAGTTCATTGTGATTGATCACTGATGTTAGCTTGTCAATCTGAAAGAAGCTAAACTGTATATTGTATAAGAACTGTCCCTCAGTAGGATTAATGTATTCCAAAAATTTAGACGAATCAATTTGTAGACAGGTATAGATGTGCGTGAAGAAGCATTGGTTTGAATAATGATTAAGTGAGCTGTGTTCCAACATATATTGCAAGAAAATGCTTTGATTTTGAATGATAGATCTGGAATTGGAAATTTCCAAGCACATGTAGTGTGTGCAGTGAAATTAAAATTTCATTAGTAAAACGTAGTAGATCAGTATGTCCAAATATGACAAAAGTCCCAAAGTTCCTCGGTGATCTGAATCAAGGTCTGAAATTTTGTCCCTCCCAATTTATGAATTAGTTCACATGGGCCATTGCCGTTTGGTTGTCCACCTGAACCAAACTAGATTTGTTGTTGCTGGCTCAGGAAAAATGACAGACATTTGCCCACATATTACACCCCACTCTAGTCGTGACGCTTCCTTTTATAGGAGACCCGTGAAGATTCCAGGGTAGAATAGGTCTTCAGCAACCCATGCTTACCGTAAAAGGTGACTATGCTTGTCGTAAAAGGCAACTAACGGGATCGGGTGGTCAGGCTCGCTGACTTGGTTGATGCATGTCATCTAGAGGTGTAACGATACGGGAGGGTCGTGATACGATACGTATCGCGATACAGGGGGCGCGATACGATACGTATCACGATAGTGTTTACTGGTACAAGCTAAGCCAAGTTGATGTCTTTCTGCTCTCTAAAAGATGTGACAAGTACAGTTGAAGAAGATATAAGGTGTTTATTTACTGTTATAGAGTATGTTTTACTGAAACAACAAACTGGCTTTGAAATTGTTAAACGTATTTCATGTTTAAAAGTACCATATTTTCTTGAGTATAGTGCGCACCCATGTATGATGCGCACCCCCTCTAGCGGGTGCAATATTTTGGAGAAAAAAAGAAATTTGAATATTATGCGCAGAAAAAAATTACATCGTACCCCTTCAGGGAAGTCCGGCAAACGAACGGGTGATGAGAAACTTCGTCAGTACAAATTCGAAATTTGAGATAAAAAATCACCAGACATGTTGATTTACCGTTTAAATTGTATTTTTTGTTCAGCTAGGCATTGTTTTATATCCAGGGATTAAGATTAACTTGTGTATTTTCTCGTAAACTAAGCCGGGCACAGCAATCAGCTGTACACACGTTTTCTTGGAATCTACCGGTGATTCGGTCAAGACACACCCAATGATATAACTTTACAGGATTTTAATGCAAGGATCGGCAAAAATTGTATCTGAAACTATTTTTTTATCAGGAATAATATATTCCAATATCTTGTTAATTTAGATGCAGCTTTTACTAAACATATTTAAAATAATAATAACCCTAAGGGAAGCAGCTGATCGCTATTGACAGGTATTATTTTTTACATGGAGCCAGTCTGACCAGTCACCGTCAAGGCTCCCGTGCACGTGATCGCGTGATCGCGAGAATTACGTGTTGACATAGAATTGTCCAACAAAAACAAATACGACTTTTAACGAATCAAAGTATGGCATTTATGATATATGTATCCATTCTCTGTCAACTAAAGTTCGTTTCAAGGCGTCAATAGAGGTAATCTGACCGTGGTTGCTGTTAATAACGGTGAGTTGTGCGATCTTCCGATCGAATCACACACGATTTCGCCGAAATTAATTAAAACAATATTAAAAGGAATTTTGAATAAAATTAATGAAATAAGTTACAAACATAAGTCTAGATATACAAAGAACACTTTTTATGGCCAGACAGTGTAATTACATGAATAATTTGCGAACTTTAGTAAGTTTGTTGACATGGTATTTCCGGTGTTATGTGCACGGTAATGTCTTTCCATGGGGGAGTAAAACTGTGTTATGAAAATATCGTATGTATCGCGATACATGCTTTCCAAATCGATGCATCGTATCGTGGGCTGTGCATCGGGATACAATACTGTATCGCCGTATCGTTACACCACTACTGTCATCGATCCCAATTGCGTGGATCGATGCTTATGATATTAATCACTGGATTGTCTGGTCCAGACTTGATTATTTACAGACCGCCGTCATATAGCTGGAATACTGCTGAGTGTGGCGTTAAACAACAAACAAACAAACCTTTTATAGGATCAGGCCTGGGTACGCTGCCGTAATTGGCTTGCCATTGAAGTTTGACAGCTTGTTCACCCACCACTTCAGTTCTTCGTCTCGTATCTGTGAAGATGCAGTATATCCTTGCTTGCATGCATTTGGAGGTATCTGCAGTAGAGCTGAGCTGGAATAATGTTCTTTGTTTGTTGTTTAACGCTCCACTTAGCAATATTCCAGCTATATGACGGTGGTCTGTAAATAATCGAGTCTGGAACAGGCAATCCAGTGATTGACATCATGAGCATGGATCCACGCAATTGGGACTTGCCTGATTTCTGATTTTAACATTCTCTCCCTTCATTAGGATGACAGGAGGTGAGGATATTGTCTACCTTCTCTTGAGGTAGAATGAAATTCAGATGCCTTGAGTTGATTGAAAGTTATGGATGAAGATGGAATCAAAACGTTTTCCAGTTTATCACAAATCCTAGAGTTTAGAGAACTAACAACAGAGTCTCTGTGTTGGATGAGAAGTTTGGTTGATTCTGCCATACAAGTGATGTTGTCAAGATATATAATCAGACGGATACCCACTCGCCGGTTACGGCCAGGCTGTCCTCTGCCTCGAGTGGACTGTCTATGATTTCATCCTCTGTCAAGAGTAGCTCTGACTTTGAAGGCGCCCCATGAAGCTTCCTCCTTGAGGTCAATGTACTTAGTAACTTACTAAGGTCGTTTGGTAAAGCTAAGCTGGCTACGAGACAACCTGTTCTCGGCTTCAAAGATCTGTTTAGCTTTGGTCTTACGTTCTTAGATAATTTTTGTGAACTGAAGGGCATAGTCATACTTTTTCTCATACTAAGTATTCCCTTTAGCCTGAAAGAGATAGCCTAAATAAGGATCAAGCAAAGGATAATGTAAACAGTCCTGCCGGGGGGAAAAGTAAATCGTCAAGGATATGTTCTTCCACTTTTGGCATCTGAGCAAAAATTATTAAAATTCTTGTCAACCTGCACAGCAATGTGCTTGGGTAGATTCCAGGGGGACTTGTCCAGATCATGGATTGAGAAGGGAACATATTCATCTGCATTATTGGACTGCACTTTCAGTGCTGACAGGTTCGCTAAGCAAAAGTAGCCTAGTGGTTTAAGCATTTGTTCATCACGCCAAAGACCTGGGGCGATTCCCCACTTGGGTACAATGTGTGAAGCCCATTTCTGGTGTCACCTCGCCATGATATTTCTGGAATATTGACAAAAGCGGTGTAAAACTATACTCAATCAATGAATCAATCACAGTGTTGTCGGCATGTGTTTTATTACAATTTACCCCGAGATATTTTTCTTTCTGTTTTACTTAGATATTGCTGTTGTGGAGCAAATTAATTTTGTTCTTTTACTTAACTTTCCATTGAATCAAATGGAATATTTTCTGAGATGTATGCAATAACGCTTGGATCTGCCGTTTGCACAGAATGAAGATATATTGTAAACACCTTAAAAGAGATGAACATTTATTAAATGTGCGTCCTTGTGATTGTCCCCATGGTAATCTTAGTCATAATTAGTACAAGGCATGTATATGGGGATCGGGAACTGGCGACAAGTGGAACAATTTCACTTGGTTTTCAAGAATTTTACTGATGTCACATCACTGCACATGTTCAGAAGCTTTTGGCTTCAATCTGACCTGGACATTGAAATGCATTGTGAATCACTGAATGTAAATTTGGGCCTTCTTTTTCCTTATTACCTTCCTATGTATAGTAAATAATTCATGTTTCAGTTTCAGTGTAATCTTATAGTGTTTGGGGGCATCATAGCTCATATGGAATGCGAATTGTGACACCTGGACTGGTGTACTTGTACACCCTTGTAATGTGATCTTTCTCAATATTCACATGAGGTGTAGACAAGATTATATATGATTTGTGACATTGAATTTCAGGCAGACAATCTGGTTTTCAAAGACAGAAAATTGAACATAGGGCCAGCTATTCGAAAACAGGTGAGTTCATGTGTTGATGTTTGGTTGATAGCTCAACTGGTCATAGAACATTAGGGCTTGTACAGTGGTGTCTCTTCTCCTGTATTCCATCATAATTTTGTTTCCAAGAATGTTAGAGAGCCTGTAATAATGAGTCATGTATTTTTGTTTTCTTACATTTACTAGTGCTGGAGCAGTTGATAGAAATAACCAGTCAATTGATTTATCTGGAAAGTCAAACGATTATCGATCTGATGAAAGGTATAAATCAATATTGAACATCATGTGAAATAAAAAATAAAAACAAGACTGCAGTTAACTGGGCAAAAATTAAATGGTCCACATGAATTCATATTTATGCCCACAAGAAAATACCATTTAATAACTAGAAATTTCTGTGAGAGGTAACAACCAGATTGTGAATTTCTGTGAGAGGTGATAACTGTGCTTATAGTGCTATCGCTCTAGCACTAAGTGTCTCTGATAGCCCTCGTTGAAGCTTTGTAAAATAGTTGTATTGTGCCGTTTATGATCACATCGCTTGCACATGACTGACATTGATTATCATCATATGATTGCAGTAGAATCTGTCTGGAAGTGACAGTTATGTCGTTGTATTATGTTTTCACAAATGCAAGACCCTATTTTCAAAATACTAAATTAAATATTATGATGTCAAAATCAGTATGGTCAGTCACCGCTGTTTTGATGTGAGTGAAATTTCACTTTGCCCTTTCCTCTGTTTTGTCAACCGCTTTAGAAGGGAAACATGATTTGGAAATAAATATCTGTGTAGATTTTAGGTTAAACAATACAAATAATAATGAAACTTGTTATATATATTTTACCAAATATACAGGAACACAAAACAATATTGCTATTACCATCTTATGAAAAGAGTTTTGCAGTATACCGGTAGCAGTCTTGCGAAATATATCAAGTTTCCAGTTTCCACTTACTTCAGCCATGTCGTCAAAAGAACCGTTAAATTTGTTAGTTGTAGTTAATTGACATTTTCTATCAATGCTCAAAGTTTCAACGTTATGACAATTGCAGATAATTCTATACTTATGATTCAATAAAATTATGTTTTTAGCAGTGTGAGTTTCATCGAAAAATTAATCAGTGTATTTCTTTTCAAACTGAGACATGAAATTGAGCTGTGAACTGTACAAGTACTAAGACAAACACTGAAGGAATATTCAATGAATTAACTCCACCCTGGTTAAAGTTTATATATAAAAAACATGCTTATGGCATTATGTTTCAAAACACAAATATCCACTGTTGATCGACTCTAGGCTTCGGTCTTTGACGTATAATTCACTGATTGGCTGAAAGTGGGAATTAATGACGTTATGAATATGCAAATTTCCAGGGTAGCAGGTCAGTGACTGGCTTGTAATACACATGCGTAATTCTTGGCACTGGCTTTTGTAACTAGAACTTGTCCATAATTACATCCTTTGCTGATCTTTATTGTCCTGGATAGTTTCATTAAATTGTATTTATTATTTTGGTTTGTGAATGTGATTCAATTTGAGCCAACCTTTTCTTGCTGGACCCACTTGATTGAGTTTGGTTACCAATATTATAGATTATTTCGTATGTAGAAAATCATAGATTAGTGATCCATCTGAGAGGTCTGATTGTCTAATATGCAGGGCGATAACCATTACTTATGTTTGTGTGTGTGAAACAATATTGAATTTATGTAAATGGCCTGATGCATATGCACAAATCTTTTGCATTTACTTGAACTTGTCTATTAGCAACATGTTTTGTAGTATTTGATGTTCATGTATGGCTATGGTCACAGGCTGCATTTGACATCAGTTTTGACCTCTTATGCCCATAATGATATGTTGTTATGTATCCCAGAATCATTGTCTGCTGTTAGTCATTCCAGATGATACTCAATCAGATTTTTTACTTATCCTGCATTACTCCTTAATGCATTTTACTGCTTGTTCTTGACAGAGAAAAGAGCTGTGTGAAGGTCTTTGCTTGAAGTAATTGTTCCAACTAGCTTAGAGGCCAACCCTATCATGCCGCTCCCACGTGACCAAAGGAAGTGACGTCACAGATCCTCACAGTACTCTTGTCACTTGCTGAGAGAAGACGTGTTTTTGATCTGTAGCATAAACTTCAAACCATGACGTGTTTTGCTTCTTGAGTTAATGTTCATTGTGCTTGTGTTGTGCACACGGTTTGTATCTTGTGAAACATTGTATGTTTTAACATGTGCATAACTTTTGTACACCTGCTGGCGTTTTCTTAAGATAGAAAACAATGGTAAACCCAGGTGTCTTGTTGTTTCAATTAGCCATCTTGAATATTTTACATGGCCAGTTATTAACTGGCTTGCGTTCTATATTCTTCTTGCTTTGTACCCCACCATTGGCGTACCCTCGCAAGTATTTTGTCTTCGTTTTGTATGTTGTCTTACGTTTGTCGTAAGAATTGTTATAAACCCATGCAGTGGGATAAACAAATTATAGCATACATAATCAGGAGGGGACACATTGTGATTTTACACTGCTTCATTGCAGATATCATGCCCTCATGCTCAAAGTGCCGGCGTAATATGTCGGCGTGGGAACCCCACCCCCTGTGCCTTAATTGTACATCTAAATGTCCCCAGGGTCATAGATGTACACACTGTCTCCGCTTTCCCCTACAGCTTTCAGACGGGCCTGGACGCCCCTCTCCTCCAGTACATCCAGTACTTGCGAGCCATGCAGCTGACGCCTATTGCCCCAGCGCCTATACAGACGCCTCTACAAGCGCCTATACAGATAGCGCCTATCCTTAAACAGCGCCTCTACAGATGCACAACCGGAACTACCGCGCAGACAGACGATTAGCCATTCCACGATATCCTTGTGGCTACATGCTCTCATTCTACAGGCCTATGAGATTGTCGGATCCCCAGGGCCATCTACCTACGGAGACCAGAGCGGTCGCTGGACACTGGATTGGCGTCCATACCATTGGCGTCCATACCTGGAAGCGCCTAACCTCGTGGTGACGGTTCTGTGGAAATCTCCCGCCAATTCTCCTCGTCTATCAACATTGGTTGAACGTTTCCTCGGGGAAAGCGAACAGACTCTCAAAGATCTCCCTACCCATGGCGTCTGGTTGATATTATCTGCACCACAGTTGACGATCACAACCCCATGACCTATTCGGTATTCAACAGATTCGTCATATGCTTCCGGATACCCAACTGGGTAATCGTTCACAACACCGGACCAGTCGTCACTCTTATCATGGGGATCAACTTGCCCCTACACTGGCAACGTCACAGTTCCTACTCAGAACTCAGACACACCACTGGTCTGTCAACTACAGGGTTCACAGGGGATTGGCCATGTGTGGAACTTGAACTAGTCCACTCAGCATACAGGGTTACAGTTTACTGCGCAGGACGACATACATGTCACATGTCAAGAACTACGACTGTAAACATCGTCGATTGTAATCAGGTCAACCGACCTTATAGGATCCGTGCAGTGTATTTGTACAGACCGGCTTGCATGATTGCTTATGCGTAAAACTGCAACCACTCGACCAGATGCCTGTCGTTGTACATCAATGACTCAATCCCGAGACAGCTCTCAAGACCCTGGCTAGGGTGTCACAGCCAGCCTTCGCGGAGGCATCCCAGTCTGGCTCATACCAGCCGTGACGCTACACCCTCCAGCCCCAGTGGCGCGGTACCACCTCAACCTCTCGGGGTAGAGGAAAAGGCAGGGCATCGGGCGCATAACAGTCCCGCCATGGCCACTCCAAGGGATGTAACGCCGACCGCAGAGACTTCCAGTGAATAGCCAGACAAGCTCGACGGGGACTTCCACCCCCAGCCGTCCAAGTTGTCGACACTCCAGTACGTGGGAGACTGGGTCGTTGCTGGCAGAATTGTGAGATCCTGGGGGACCCATATGTCACCAACATCATCTGACATGGGAACAAGCTGGTGCTTATAGACGACCCGCCCCTACATGGGTACAAGCTGGCGGCGCTTATAGACGACCCGTCGCTCACGTCGTTGCCCATAGCCACCTACCCCCTTACTCAACAAACGCTTCCTGGCGCGTCCAGCTTATTCAGGATGACCACCTCAGGCTGCTGCGATCCCGGATCCAGGCACAGGATGTATTCACCAGCCTAGATATCGAGGACGCCTATCGACATGTCCCTATACATCCCGACGACCAGGTCCATTACCAATGGGCGGTTCCCCCATTTGGATTTTCTTCAGCACCGTGGCTACTCACACGGCTTCCCACCATCTCCGGGACATTCAGTTCAAGACATACGTAGACGACTGTCTCCTGAATCATTGGGACACCGTCACTCTACTTCACCGCAGGGACTCCTGGCTCCTTTGCCTATTAGGGTGGATGATCAACCTCAGGAAGTCAGAGTTGACACCCTCAAATCGCCTTCAGTTCATCGGGGGACCTCGATCTCTTCTCTGTACCCAGAGACCGGTGGGAGCACAGCAGGCGCACCTGACTCCAGCTCTCCACCTACCACACACTCTGCACCAATGGCAAGTCCTCCTGGGCCTCCTAACCTCAGCGCAGGACTTGACCTACAGAGGAAGGCTCCAACTGCGCCCAGTTCAGATGTCCCATCGTCCTCCCGGATCATCTCAAGCATCCCCGGTGGTGGACGGTGGAACCGAATGTCTTAGGCGGTGTCTCCTTGACAGGACTTACGACCTCTCTGCGCCTATTCGTAGACGCGCCCCTGCAGTGATGGGGCACACACCTGGAGGAACAGGTTGCCTCGGGGCTGTGGTCCGTCGATCAGCGCCTATGGCACATCAACAACCTCGAACTGGAAGCGCTTATCTTGGCCATCGCTCACTGGAAGCAGGCCCTCAGACACGCCCGGCTCTCCATCTCGACGGACAACACCACTGTCGTATGGTGCCTTCGGAACCAAGGAACGACTCACTGGACTTCGCTCCTTCAACAGACGTTCCGATTGTTTCACCTGGTGGATCATCTGGGGATTCAGCTCCAGGTCCACCACATCCCGGGCTGCCGAAACATCCTAGCGGATGCCATCTCTCGACCAGGCAAAGTGGCTCCAACAGATTGGAAACTTCCCCAAGATGCCTTCGCTCTTGTTTGTCGAGACCACGGTCTCCCCAACATAGACCTATTCGCCACCAGCCAGAACTACCAGATGCCCAACCTACATATCTCCGGTGCTGGATCCACTGGCTTGGGCAGTAGACGCTTTCAGCGTCCCCTGGGAAGGACTAAAAGCGTATGCCACCTGTACTCCTTCTGGAAGTCGTCCAGATCAGTTTGACACGGAACCTCGATCTGACTTTGGTCGCGCCCTGGTGGCCAGTGAGGGCTTGGTTCGTCGACCTCGGAGAGCTGTCCGACGTCAACCCACTTCCACACCCAAATTGGCCAAATCTGCTGATCCAACCTCACAGCAGACATCCACACCCAGGACCAGACAGGTTATGTCTTCACGTCTGGTCCATTTACAGAGAGCACTGAACGCCAATGGCTACTCGGCCAGAGCGGCTAGGGCCATCACGATGGCGCATCGTCCAACCACCAGGAGCGTCTATGATAACAAGTGGCAATCCTTCGAGAGCTTTTGCAGGGGCAAGCACCTAAACCCCACATCTGCATCGCCTCAATTCCTGGCCGAGTTCATGCTCCATCTGCATCACAAGCGTAAGCTCAAGGGCAGTACCATCATGACCTTCCTTGTGGCGCTCAACTTCGTCCTGGCAGTTCCGGAAGATCAGCGCATGACGTAAATCCCGGAACTACAGACTCTGCTCCGCTCATTCAGGCTGGAAGACCAAAAGGCGAAATCTCGTACACCAGCTTGGGGCTTGAATGTCATTCACACCTCGCTGAGAGACGTGCCCTTCGAGCCACTCGAAGCAACGTCATCCTACAATCTGATGAGAAAATGGTCTTCCTACTGGCGCTCGCCACAGCAGCCCGTGTCAGTGAGCTACATGCCTTGGACGTCACGCTCGTCCTTGTCCACTTTGAGCATGGAGCACACAGAGCCGTGCATCTTGGACTGTGCTGGGACTGCTTTCCCAAGAATCAATTCCCATGACAGCCAGATAGATCGTTCCTCATCCCTCCCCTAGCTTCGATTGTGGGCGCGGAAGATGTACTAGAGCTCTGTCTATATCCGGTTAGAGCGCTCCGTTGCTATATCAGACGATCCAAGGAACACCATAGACAACGACGACGCCTCTTCATTCCGGTATAGAGCTGCGACTTTGCAAGCGGAAGGTAGCGGCAACACGATCGCCCTCCGGCTATGAGCCCTCATTCTCCAGGTCTAAGAGGCCGCTGGATTGGACCCCCATGCTCCAACAACCCACATGAGACCCGGGCGATCGCCTCCATCATGGCGCTACACAGCAACTGAGCTCTACCTGCCATCATGGAGAAGTGTTCTGGCGATCAAACACATTCGTCGCCAGTCACCATATGCGAGATGTCCCATTGGAGGATGTGCTAGGCACGCACAACTTGGTCCGTTAGTAATGCCCAACAGGCTCCTCTACTACTAGTCACTGACCTCGCCTCCAAGTCCAGAGCCTGCCTTTCGACCTCCCCTGGCGTAAGCCCTGGACTAGAAGGTTCATGCCCCACTTGCATACGGCTCAGTACTCCAGTCTCGATCTAACCGAGAGTTATTGTCAGGCTGCGCATACCTGACTCTTCCCGTCCATGTCATGGTCATCCAGACCGACCATACAGCCGAAGACAGGCGGAGGGAAACTGAGTTTCCCATACATGGAGTGGTCACCTGATGCCGACCACACAGCCAAGGATTGGCTAGGGAACAGAGTCTGGAAATAAAAGATGAAAGTCCACATCTGAAGCTATTCCCGCCTCCGGTCCGTCCGATAAAGATGCATTAAGGAGTAATGCAGGATAAGTAAAAAATCTAGTAAAATCCTAGATATATTTTATATTTGTATACTTATCCTGCATTACTGCTTCTAAAGGGACCCACCCATCGCAGATCTACCTCCCCACGATGCCTTCCGATGTCCGGAATCCAGAGTAATGTGGTGATCCGTGACGTCACTTTCTTTGGTCACGTGGGAGCTGCGTGATAGGGTTGGCCCTCTCAGCTATTTGGAACAACTTTTTCAAGCAAAGACCTTCACACAGCTCTTTTCTCTGTCAAGAAAAAGGCAGTAATATGCATAAAGGAGTAATGCAGGATAAGTATACAAATATAAAAAATATCTAGGATTTTACGAGCATTGTCACATCTAGCCATGTGCATTTGTGTCATTTACACATTTTTCACACAATTGGTGCAAAATAATGATTCATGGACCACTTCATACATTAAAAAAACCTATAAATGGCGCATTTATGATTTTATCATACACAGCAAAGTCCTTTTTCACCAAGCATGCATTTGAAATTATTGGCAAAAAAAACGAAAATTTCCATGTCTGTAAATAAAACATTTCGCAGAATTTGGCAGCGACTTGTCAAAATATTCTGCAGTTATTGTAACAGCTCAGAATTTAGTGAGTTCTTTCAAACAATTTCATTTGGAAGCCGGGCAGTGATTCGAGCATGTTTGTGCATCTGTCATCAATGCCTCTCTGATAGTTATTACTAATTCTGCCATGCAATTGGCCTATTGGTTATATAAGGAGGCTGTGTCCACTATTGAAAGTTGAATAAAATGTGTCTTCATGGATGACAGCACAGATGTTAATGCTTTGTATCATAGTGGACTACTGGTTACACATGAGTGGCCTACTATTCATGAGGGAATGTAAGGTAAATCCTAGATGCAACACAATCAGGTGAGCTACATAACCTTTGAGCAATTTTTTGTTTTTATAACAAAATTATCAAGAGAATCTTTCAATGTTTTTGTTTTCTTTACTTTTGGGGTATTTTACTCTGGCAAATTTGAAAGTTTTAATATCTGTTAAATGTGCTTTTGGTTTTATTATAGGTCTTACCAAGAACATATGGTGAGTATTTGCAAAACTGCACATTCATTTGTATCTATTATGCCTTTATGTGTTCATTGTTTTCATAAATTGTTATGACTAAAATCTAATAATGTCTGAACATATTTACTGTAACATCCTCCATTTATCTGAATAACATTTCCTCTTGATTTTAATGTGTCAAATTTTTAAAATGTAGTATTTCAAGTGAAAACATTTTAAGTTGTGTAAATGATTTTTCAGATTGTTGGAAGAAAGGTTAAGGGAAAGACAATAAAAACCAATATCATTGACATTTTTACAGGTAGATGGATGTTGTTTGAATGGTTTATTTACCTGTCTAGAATGAAATTCAAATGCATGCCATTTAGAGCACTTTAAGGATATTAAACTTTGCCTGCTGTTTGTGATGCGATTAGTTCCATAGGTCAAACATTTTGTGCATTTGAATTTCAGTATCAAAATGTTATTCTTACAATATGCATGTCTGTCTTCCCTCATCCAATGGTTAATCTTGGGGGAATTTGTTGATACTCGAGGTAAAAGAAAATATTGGTAATTTAATAAATATCATTCGTATTCAGCCATATAAATAACTTTTAATGTAAGCATTAAAATCTTGGACATAGGCATTACTCCATATTACGATATAGAAACTTTTGATATATATAATTGGTGTTCTGTTCAATGGTGTTTTGACAGGTAATATCAATGATGGCAAGATGTGTCATTGATTATCTGGTGATAAACATCAAGTCTTTTATTTATTTCTACTTTTTGTTTGTCGTCAGCATTTTATGTTCTAGCCTGTAAATTTTGAGCAATTTCTTTACTCAACAAAAACATATAATATTCAGTTGTACCCCAAGTCCAGAAGACAAAATTTCAGTCTATAGCTCTGGGCTAGAAGACATCATCACTCACATCTAAATTTTTAATCCATTGAAAATTACTCGGTTCTCTGCCACTCACTTAAATACCCGGTATTGGTAACTTAAAAATTTCTTTCTTTCTTTTTATATCAAAGACATTACTACTTGCCCAAAGGATGCCTTGTACTTGTTTAACAATTGAAATGGGCAGATTTCTTTGGGCCAAATCTTTTCAATGTAATATTCATCAAATGATTGCTTATGTATGATTAATGGTAGGAACCTAATTTTGACTTCATATACTTATTAAAGGCAATCTTGTGAGGTGCAAAATAAAACATCCCTCTTGACAAATTAATTCTACCAGATAGTAGGTTCAATTGGTTACTTACAGCTTATCAGTAGAATTTTCTACTGTTCGAGTCTCACCAAATTCCCCCAGTTGAATGTTTCTGAATGTCCTGAAGTTACTGTAGGTTTGCCCTTGTTGTCCATTTTCAGATCCAAATTTAACGCAGGGAACAGTTATGTTCACTAATGGAGTTCCATACACTTACCAAAATGGAATGGCAGTTTTTCATTCACCTGACGGAGGTTACCAAATACCTCAGGCGCAGGTGAGATAAACAGTCGCAGCATTTCCGTCCTTACAGTTCTTTCACATCACTGTGGTTTATACTCATACTTCAAGTACTGGATTCACATCAGTAATAGCCTACAGAAAACTATATTGATAACATGAGAACAGCTGTTATCAAGAAAAAGGATCGTTGAGGTACAGTACTGTCCAAAAAATTGTAATAACAAAGAGGTAATAATGCTGATTTCTCCAAGTTTTAACTCAACTTGCAAGCATCAGTACCTCATTCATGATCATATCTAAGTTTGTGTACTCAGTCACTACAAGATCACTATTTTGCCCTTTGCCCTTTACAAAGCATATAAATGAATTGACAAGTGACGCTGGTAACATTTGCTGTCAATATGGTGTGTATGTATAAATGGCTGTATTTTCAGACATGCTACAAATGCTTAATCAGTGATAGTATATTAATTTCAATGCTTACTATTTTGGAATCAAGAATGATGTGAAACCAGTACCATGTTTCAGACTCAAGTCTAGGATAGTCTTATATTCTATAGATGCTTCTTGGAAATGTTGAGGTTGAAGTTGTTGGAGTATTTCAGGCATGATGTTCAACCCTTTTTGCCCTTGTTTTCCGGTCCTCATCATGAAGGCTTGATTTTACCACTTTTATTTCAGGGCAGCATCAATTTACATTTTAGTAAAAAAAACATACCACATATGGTTGAAGTTCAACCTTACCAGAGCAGCAGTTTCAAAGAATACAATCAATTTATCCTAAGGTAGTGGTAAATATGGCTGGATTCATAGTTATTACAAAGTTATTACATACCCTAAATCAATTTGTACATGGTAATTAATTGTTGCTGGTGTCTTCAGATGAAGGTTGTCTATATTTAATTCTGTACCTGTGAAAAAAGAAGACAGCCTGTAGTACACCAAAATGTGTTGTAAACATTTTAAAGATATGGTGTCGATTTGTCACCGCAGTTATCTTAGATGGTTGTTAATGCGCTTTTAACAAGCTTGCATGAAAGCAGTTAATCCTACGCCTTAGCCAGCAGACAAAAAACAACCAACCATCCAAATTAAGATGCTTTCTACAAGTTTCTTCCTTGGACGACTTGTTAGGAGGCTGGCAAAAACAAATGGGACTAGAACATCAGTGTTGCACTTTTTGTACTGCTGGATTCACAAATAAAATCTCCCTTTGAAACAGACAGTACACAGTACAGGACAGATGACAAATAAATATTGAATCACCCACTTATATTAACAATTGGCTGGTTCATGGTAATAGCAGTCTGCGACTTCTGCCACTAGTCCAAAGGCCAAGTCAAGTAAAATTCTGTTTTCAGTCTTTCAGGGTTAAAATTTAACACTAGCTCGCTAGCCTGGCGTTATAACAGGTTCCTGTGGGCTAGTACAAATTTCCAAATTTCCCGATTGTTACAGCGGTAGAAACTAACATTTTTAGTCCACTAGTCATTATAATGATAATATATAGCAAAACCCCTTTTAAATTTGCAAACTTCTTATAGTCCTTATGATACCTTAACTATGGGCAGTTCAGCAAGGACTATAGAACTAGTGCCAATTTCTACCGCTCTTTTAACATTACAAGGGCATTTTATCTTTACCCGGGCTAGTAAAGTGTTTCAGCTTAGTTCTAACCCTGTCTTACAAGCTCAGCTAATAATAGTCCATATATCATAACAATAAATCTAATGAGAATGATTTTAAGAGCCATGTTTTGGCTTGTAGACTAAAAGGTTTTCACACAAACTGTAATACTGTATCTCATTCTCATCTGATGCAGGGGCACGGGTGGCCCAGTTGTATAAGGTGCTGCGATTTGCTGTGCAGAGTTGCATCCCTAGGGCACACCAGAAACCAATGATTGTTGTTTCGAATCCCGGTTTGCCTTGATCATGTTTCTAGGTTTGTCAGCACCATACACATGCTCGTGGGTTTCACCAAAGTGATAAACATCTGAGACCTGCATCACTTCATGTGGACACGCCATGATATAACTGGAATACTGTTAAAAGCGGCGTTAAACCCAACTCACTCACTCACTCATCTGATGCAGAATCCTGTTAAAGCTCTGAAGGACTCACTGTACCGGTCATGTATATCTTATTTTAATATTTTTGTGATACAATAAATTTACAGTTTGTTGCCATGTTTGGAAGACATTCTGTTGTGAGGATCCCTTGAACACAGTATCTTAATAATGGTATTTTATCAGAGGTCTCCTCTCAGGTCACACCTTTCATTCCATCCAGTATGATAGGTAACACTATAACCAGCCATAAGCTAGACACACCTATTGATTGCTATTGGAGTAATTATTGAAGATTGCTGCAACTTGCAGAAGGAAAACAAGGGCAAAAGGTTAAGATCACAATGGACAGTTGCTTAAAGTTTTCAGTTTGAGCGATTCTTAGATTGTTTAACTTCAGATTTGATCATCTTTGTTTTATTATTTTATATCTTCTGTGAGCTTGTAAGAATTGTAGGCCACACCAATTTTATTTATTTGATGGATGATTTTGGTCAGTTAGCCAAGCTTCAGGAGGCAAAACGAATCTTGCAAAACAAGTAACAAAATCTAAGAAATACTGATTTTTCACATTTATTACAAAAAAATTCAATTTCTATATTTCGGTGGAATGGGGTGTAGGCTTCTGCTTAAAACAGAAATAACAATTGATGTGGCCCTGTGAACATTGGAATATGTGTGTCTCAGTTATATTATTCATGCAGCTTATAAATATCTCACATCTAATGATCATTTTAAAACAATGATTTATGATTAACATTGCCATTTTGATAAGAGTCTCTTAGGAACATCAGGACGACTGACCAAACAGTTAATGTTTTACATTTATCAAGGTTGATTAAATATATTCCTGCTGTGAAATGACACTTCATTGAGTAATAACAGTAAAAATAGTTTCACAAAAGTACAACTTAAGATAATTAACCATGTATTTTAGGACCTGTTAATGCATGTGGTCTCAAGTTTATCATTTGTACAAACTGGTAATCATTCCACTATGGATTTTTTTTCAATGATTGTTATTCTGTTGATATTTTGACAAATTACTATACACAATTCTTTCTTGCGCACATAATCAGTTTGAGGAGTAAAACATGAAGAGATAAGTTGGCTAAATTTCAAAGTAATTTTAATGCCTTACATTATTTTGTGCATACTTTGAAAATACATTGATATGAACATGCCTCTGACAGTTTTGGATTTAAGAATGAATGACTGTGGTGAATAAATTGAGTAACAAACAGCACATTCATTTTCCAAATCTGACACTACCATGACAGTTTTGCCATTAATTTGCACAGGGACTTCAGTGTAGACCCACTCATGTGACTGCTGCTCAGAGAGAACAAGTAAAGGTCAGATATATATGCCACAGTCACTACATTTAGTTCTATCCTTGTTAAGACACATCTAACAACTTATCTTTTCATACAACTGAAACTACAATGTATTTCCCCTTTAATCATTAATCACCTTGGAACCCTCCTCCCAATGATTCTCTTGAAAATGTTTAAAGTAATGTCAACTATGGACGCCAGTTCTAGGTGTATCAATCATCATGCTGTTAAAATATTGCTGACGGTGGTGTAAACTCGCTAAACCTTTCAAAATCTCTTGGTTTATAACAAACTTGCCTTTGACACAAACATTACACATTTTTTCAACCTCTACTCAGAGATGAGCTCCAGATTATTATTATTGTCATATCAAAGCTTATGGACCTAATAAATTCAGCTAAGAACTCAACCAATTTTGGCTTGTAAGAACTCTATACATTTTGGCACAGATTGGGATGGTTAAAAATATCTTTACACACCCTGTGTGGTTTGTCCTTATACACACTTTTAATATGCAGGGATTTATTCTTTTGTCTTTTATCATTTTGGTATACATGTAGTTCCAGTGTTTCCATTCAGTTATTAATTTACTGGTTCACTAGACTAGCAGCCCTTAAAAATATCGGTCCAGTCAAAATTTTGCTGGTCCTATCAGTTGACCTAGAGGTAACAGCCTCATGGTGACTTTCACGGTCACAGTGTTCTTTATTTGCTGATTTCTGCATGTTCATACATCCATTTATGAAGCCATTTAATTTTACTTCAGCCTCAAATTCTACAATACAAACTATCACCAGTCATTTTCGATCATTCTCACAACTTGCATTCTCTCCCACACACCTTGCAGTCATGGGAATTCGTTCAAACAATCATTGTGAAACATTCTTATTCTTGACTTAGTTTTATCCTTTCCAGACGTACTACTCTTTTCATTAGATGTTTTACCATCATTAATTGTGCCTTTACTACCAACATCTTTTCAATATCATTTTTGTTTTTCCCCTTTGAAAAAATTGAAAAGATTTGTCTGCTTTCCTGCCATATTAGCCTCAAAACAAATTGCTATGTCACTGTTCTTGTTTTAGCTACAAGACTCTCAATCTTGTTTAATCTTAGATGTAATTGTTTCAATGAGTAATTTGCAGTAACAAGCACACCAGATCATTCAGCTTTAAGACATCATTTATTTATAAATGGACATAGAGATTTGGTCAGAATTATTTTAAGTTAATAGGGCTCTGTTAAAAAATATATCCATAAAATAACTAAAGACCCTCTTCTGTGGATTTGAAAGCCAGTTAAGGTTTTTGTGTAAATGTTTCTAGTGCAGGTAACTTTCATTGTCAGGACAGGTAACATTTCGGAGAGGTCATATGTCACAAGTAAGGGTTTGTGCACACAATCTTGTGATGTTTCATGCAAGGTCAGAGGTCACTTTGTCACAGATTTTCTCACTGTGTTCATATGAAAAGAATATCAATTTATGAATGACAATACCAGTTAAAAAAACCTCATCTATCAAATCATTCTTCCAGACATCCAGTAATGTGAGCATTACTGGAGGCAGTGATGATGGTAATGATTCTTTTGAATATATATCCCTCTTGGTCTGCTGATAAAGAATCGTCTGCTGTCGGTGACTGTGGTAGGACTGTTGATTCCCCTATCAGTGAAACTACTTACCTAACGCTTTAAGTATAACAAAAGACTGTCCTAGTAGTAGATCCTATCAGTCATGATATCAGGAAGAAAGTGAAAACTTATTCTTTCAGAAATAGCTGGACAGATGGTACGGATTGGCTTCATTATGAAGAAACAGAAGCTTGATGTACTGTTGTATTTGACAACAAATTTACAAAAGTGGATAGCTGAATTCTTTCAAACCTGGCTGCAAATCTTTTAGACTCCAAGAAATAAAAGTTCATGAAAACAGTGAAATTCACAAGGGCACTGAATGCAGGGAATTTGCAGAACTTTGTGCGAAAAAACAATTACCTCTCAATTTCCACTGGACACAAGAAGGGTCACTCTTAACGTTACAATCACAACTGACACTTTGAAACTATTGTTTAAGGTTGTTTACTGGATGGCAAGATGTGAGAAGCCATGTGCAGATTCCCCCAAAATAGAATACTTTATTTTCTCTTTTTATTGATATTCAAAATAAGTGAACATACAGTATTTCAATACATGATATTTGGTGGTGCAACCAGATTAATTCACTTGGTTGCACCTTGTGCAGGTGGTGAAAAAGAATGAAATTGTACCTTGTGGACCATCGCTTCTGTCATGTGACCTTGATGGAATATCACTATCACATATCTGCCTATCATGTAACAGCTAGGACGTGTCTCAGCTGGGCTTGGGGGGCACAGGTGGCCCAGTCGTCTAAGGCGCCACCATTCGCTGTGCAGAGTTGCGGCCTTTGGGCACGCCAGAAACCTTTGATTGTGGGTTCAAATCCCGGTTCGCCCCGATTTTGTTTCAGGGTTTGTCAGCATCATTACCGTGCTTGTGGGTTTCACCGAAGTGGTAAACATCTGAGACCTGCATCACTTCGAGCTTTCCTCCCACATAAGCGGACACACTGTGATATAACTGGAATACTGTTAAAAGCGGCGTTAAACCCAACTCACTCACTCACTCACTCACTCACTCAGCTGAGCTCAACTTTTGGAATTGTTTTGGGCAGTTAACTTCGGCTACCACACTAAATTATATCTGCGATGCGTGATGTATTCCTTTCATATTACTCTCACTGGTTTGTGTATTAATATGTGGCTGATTTTCATGTAAAAAGACCTTGTCTTTTCCCCACAAAGTGGCTCGTTTCCGCCATTTTGAATTTGTTACATTTGTTTACCTTCAAAGGTAGTCGAATTGTTAGCAATTTGTAGCAAGGTATTTTCAACGTGCTAATGTTTATTTGAAATACCGGTAGCTTTGGCTTTACATATTTTTTTCGTGTATCTTTTCATTGTATACACTTTCAAAATATTGCCGATAGATACATGATAATTCATCGGCAATTCTCAAATAATTAATCACAACTTTCTATTTGCTTAACATATGCTTGCGCTGTGTACAAATTGTAGTAAAAAATCTTCCAAAGATCCCCATCCACGTTGTTTGGATTGCACTCAGGTTTCCTCGGGGCTCGGGGCTCGGGGCTTCCAGCGTACCCCATTACGTCAGAGATGCATCATCAGCTTAGCACTGTAACGCCTGCCTACCCTGCAGCACAGCAGATGTACGCTCAACAATTGGATGCAAATTTTTATGCAATCCATGTGGCAGCAGTCTATGGCACAATTGTACCCAACACCTGCGCCTATGTACCAGACTCTAGCGTCAGCAACAATACCTATGCAGCAAACAACTCATGCATCAGTGTCTACACCTGCGTCTAACATTTACCAAACATCAGATGTGCGATCTGTCACAACGCATACGCCTTTGGTCGGCGCCAATACCGCATCTCATAGGTGGACATCGTCACATGAGTCTTTCACCAGGCGTCTCTTTGAGACCTTCTGATAATGGAAGGGTTGTGCACAGAAGTCGTTCACCTACAAGGAGAGCGTGTCACCATCATTACAATTCTTCGAACTTTTCAATCGGCACAGATGGAGATTCTTCAAATGAATGGAATGCTCATAAGCGCAAATGCCTGCGTGGGTAGCAGACCGTCTAGTGTCAGTAGCTCCCTCCCCTGTCATTGAAGCTGCCAAAATTCAGGAAAGATTATTATCCTATACATATCTTCGCTGTAGCAGATCAGGCACACATTTTGGATGAGGATTTACAGAGGATGACTGGTTCTTCGAGAACAACCACGCTCAAAGACACCCGATTTTCACCATTGAAACAGAAATCAGGCACATATTAAAAGCTTTGTCAGCACTAGTGTCTTCAACCTTGGTCAACCTTAGTGTATTCAATGAGCAAATCTCCAGTTACGCAAGGGACAAGACCACGCTCAAGGCATTGGAGCACGTTTCTCTCAGTGGTCAGGCAACTATAAACCAAGAAGCTCTTCTCTCAAATAGGGTTAAGACTAAGATTCTTTCAGAGGCAAATGGCATGGCAGAGATAAACCTCAAGGTTCTTATCCGTCCCACCGTGGTAAATTCCGGACTGGGAACTCCCATCCCCAGTCGTCCCAATCGTCAACACCCCTTTCGATGGGAGACTGGCCCAGTTCTGCCAGAACAGTTTCATAGTGAAGGACGTCTTCATACTCAATGTACTATGTTACGGCTACTGACTGACCTTACAGTAAGTTCAGCCGTTGACCACAGCTCCTCCACCATTGGAGTACCCAAGGAAGCAACGTCTGCTACTAATATCCAACATAGACATCTTCTTAAAGAAAAGAGCTGTAGAGATTATTAGGGCTGATACGATTCACTTGCGTATTCCATGAATCAAACTGTTTCCATTCATGAATTGAATTCATTATTCGCGGCCACAAGAATCGAATATTTATGAATATGCAATAAAGTGCATTTACATACACTGTACCTTAAAATATCCTTAAAAACATTTTATATGCATAGATTTCTTCCAAAACAACACTCTTATGATATTTAATTTAACAGTATTGCGGTCACTGGTCATTGTCGCATTTGAGCAGATACTAGTACCTGAATAAGAGCAGTATATAAATGTATAATATCTTAATAATTAACAAAAGATGTCAAATAATTTATGTTGTTATTGTTTCACTGAATATGACAAATAATACATAAACTGCTGACTTGTTATTGTATTCGTGAATTAATATTCGTATTCATTACCCATATTCGTGATACGAATCATATTCAACGCATAGTGTATTCGTTGAAGCCCTAGAGATTATACACACCTCAGTGCTAACATCGGGGTTTTACTCTCCCATCTTTCTGGTACCCAAGAAGGACCCCCTTACCGTTCCCTAGGAAATACAAAAGAGCAAAGACACAAGGAACCTTGCTCTGACTTTGGTCGTGCAGAAAACGATCCTCCTATCCTGCCAGAATATTCCAACCTACTCATCCACCCTCACAGGAAATTGCCTCACGCATCCACAGGCAGGTTTCATCGGCACACTTGTATTGTCTTGAAAAGGTGTTAAGTGCTAAAGGCTATTCCGCACAGGCAGCCAAGGCTATTGCATTAGCACATCGTCCCTCTACCAGGTTTTTTTAGATGACAAATGGGGATCATTTGAAACCTTTTGCAAGGCAAAAAATCAAGATCTCACAACAGCGTCACAATAAATCTTAGTCAAATACCTCTTACACTTTCGTACCATAAGACACTTGAAGGGTAGCACCATTACTACGTTAATTGGTAGTGCTCAATTCAGTGTTTGCCGTTCCGGAGAATTGTAAGAGGACTAAGGTCATGGAACTACAGGCCCTACGCTCTTTTAGGATCAGAAGGCCAAATTCTGTCCCCCTGTTTGGGATTTGAATTTGGTACTTCGAGGGTAAAGAAGGCCCCACTTCAAGTCACTCAACGCAACCTCATTTTATGACCTCACCAAGAAAAGCATTTTTCTCCTTGCTTTAGCCACTGCTGGCCGAATTAGCGAGTTGCACGCACTTGACATCACCCAGTTTGAGCTTGGTATGCAGGGAGCGGTACATCTCGGGTTGTGCTGGGATTTTATAGTAAAAAGTCAATTACCAGGCCAACCTGATCGTTACGTCACTATGCCACCAATTTCGACGATTGGGGGAGTTGAAGATGAGGGTGAACTCCTCTTGTGCCCTGTGTGCGCACTATGAGTTTTCATCCGCCGTTCCAAAACTAGGCGTGGATCGCGGAAATGGTTATTCATTTGGTCGCAGCACCATATCTCTATGGTTACGCGCAGTCATCCTACAGGCTTACGAGGTTGCCAAACTTGATCCTCTGTGAGCAAATAATCCTCATGAGATCAGAATGGTAGCCCCTACCATGGCTCTACATAGTAACTGTTCTATCAGAGCAATCATGGAAAGATGGTTTTGGAGGTCAGATAGTTTTTGCAAGTCAGTATCTTCTCGAAGACCTCAATGGCGTGCACAGTTTGGGCCCTCTGGTAGTAGCCCAGCAGGTTACCAACCCCTGACGCAAATAATGAACTCATCCTTTCCAGAGCCTGTTTCCCTCCCGCGTAGTATTACCTAAGAAGGAATTGCTTCAAGCTTTTTATCAGCTTTGGCTCTGTAACAAAGTAAAGATACTAGCTTTCGTTATCATCCGTTATTACCATGACTTTTTGTGTGTACACAGTGTTATCCTCAATTCTTATGTTCCATCTGTAATAAGATTGAACTTACCCTACCATTATGGCATTAATATGCTTTTTCCGCCGTAAGGTTTATTGACAAACATGTGTCGTCTTTGGGGTTTGAATTATTGAGGTTATTTCTTGGACATCTGAAGGTATGCCCTCCTCCATGCCGTCCGATACAGATGTTCTAAGGAGTAATGCAGGATAAGTAAAAGATTTACTAAAATCTAAATATTTTTTACTCTTGTATACTTACCCTGCATTACTACCTCTAAAGACCCTCCCGTCGCAGACTTGTCTCCCCACTTCAGCTTCAGAAATCTTAATTTTTATATATATATTTTAAGCTTGAGCGACAGGTAACAATGTGGTAGGTGATATTCCATCAAGGTCGCATGACAGCGGCAATGGTCCATGTAAAAAGCGGGATTTGAGAGCGAGACAACTTTTCTCTTCACCCAAGACCATCGCTAGGCGCTTCCTTTATTGTCGTAAGATGAGCAGTATATGAAGTACGGAGTAATGCAGGATAAGTATACAAATGTAAAAAATAATTAGATTTCACTGAAATTGTATACCAAAGCAATTCATGAACATAACAAATTGGAAATTAACATAGAAAAATTGTTAAAAAATAGAAATTTCATAATGACTTGTCATAATCTCATCAGTGACATCCCCCTCGGACACATTTCTACAAACATGTATTTTTCATTAATTTTGGTCGGGAAAAGTTGCATTTGGTTACAAAAGCATTTTATTCAAGGTGTGTGTGAGGTGACCCCCAAAACCGCCAGTTACTTAAACAGAAATGGTGTCTAAAAAGCTCCGAAATCATTACAAAGGAACTCGTGCACATCCCTTAACAAAATGGTGGAAACAAACAGGACTATTGCAAAATACTCAGTTATGAAAGATTTTCCTGTAGGTTGTATAACTGGTTTACATTATGATTACAATAAAAAATAAGTGATACTTCAAAGCTTCTTTTTCTGAAATTTGAATCTTATCCACAAATGTAGCACAACTGTCCTTGTCTAAATGATGTAAACATAACAGTAAGGTTATTATCTATCAAGAACTTGAACTGTAAATGCTGTTGAATATGGCATCAATGTTTCAGTCATACACACCTCACCTCAAACCACTTAATTTCATGTAATGTGGTTCCAGTTCCTGAAGTACCTTCATCATGGATTCTGACCATGATAATTTTATCATCCCTATTAACAATCACCTCCAATCAAACCATTTTCACCTCAGCTCATTTCATTTAAAATAAATTCATTCAAATAAGATAGGAAAGTCAATTGCCTTTACTGTGAATGTAACTAGCCCTGATTGAAAGTGATGTAAAAGGAACCACATTCTACTTTTTAGGCCTTTCGTGAGGGATGGAATGATCAACACCACTGCACTGTAAGTTGTTTCTCCTACCCTATAACAATAGCCCTGCTGAATAGTGATAGTTCTTGGGAAGGTGACAATGACCAGTGGAAGACTGAACACACAGATGAGACCTAAGTGTTGTGATCACTTGTTTGCCCCTGTAATACATCCGTAATATTGCTGACTTTTTGAAATTACAATTAACTTTAACCCTGCTTCTTAACAAACACCAATATGAGATATTGTGTATGTCCTCTCAGTTTTGTAAAGAAAGTAACATATATGGTTTCCTGATTCATGCCCAGATAATGCCACTAGCAGATTTTGAGTAGTATGTGTTCAGTTGATTTTATTTTTCTTTCTTTTGTGAATTGTTTGGATATTGAAAATTGTATGTTTTCAAAAGGGAATCTTTCTTCAAAACATCAACATCTGTTGCCAGTTTGTAGTCATTCTGTGTTTGATAGGCTTATGTGGGTTGACAGTGATTGTGACTTCAGTTAGTCATTCAAGAACTTGGCTCCTTTCAGTTTGGGTACAATCTGTGAAGCTCTTTGTTTTATGTGGTGTCATTATTTCAAACAGTTGTGATATATTTTTGTAAATGAAAATATTTCCACTGACTATTTCAGCAACCGGCTTACACAGCTACAGTGATGGTCCCACAGACGCCAACTATGTATCACGTTGCTCCACAGTACTCTGCCTACCAGCCAGTAAGTGGATACGAAGGGGCTAACAACACAAGGCTATTGGCGTCCAAACCAATGCCTCAGATTAAAGAGACATACACACATTTGGTAATTCTTTATACAGAGGTGTGGTTAGATGAGAGCATTGGATGCACCATTAGCAACACTGAGTAACAGCCGCATGATTGTTTCCGGACCTATAGTTCTGTACAAATTGCATAGCCAATAATGTTTTAGTTTCAACTAACACTGTTTTGTTGGGCTTTTTCCACTTTTTTTCTTTAAACAGAATCACATAGGAGTGAAAAAAAACCTTTAACCATCTTAGTTTTGCATCTTTTACCAAGAGAAGTTATTTTAGTAAATATTTATTATTATCTTTTCAGATATGAAAATGCATGGCCCTTATACTGATACACAATTGTCTTCTTACTCTTTGCTCTTTCATTTGTTGTTAAAGATGTAAATAACCCAAGTATTAGACCATTTAATAATTAAAGATCAACAATGTAACTTGCTTGATGGTCTTTCAATATAAGGAGTATAGCAATAAATTTCATTGCTTGAACAGATTTTGAAAGATCAACTTTCATGAGTGCAATCTCTCCTTGTCTTTATAGACCTGATGGCAATTATTTATTGGTTCCTTTTACGAAAACCATTCAAAGGTTAACTGAATATACAGTGTTGTAAATAGCTAACTGCTGAGATAGTAACTCCATTGTGATACTATGCTGCAGATTCCTGTCCGGAGTAGAATCGGTTGCCAGCAACTGATGCTGGTCATACACGTGATCAAATGGTTTGGGTGGTTGAGTTGAAATGATACATCGGTACATCTAAGTTTTCATGCGAAGATACAGTCGACACAAAAATTTTACTGTATCAATACAAGACTTGACTTAAATAAATGACTTTCTGCTGGTTTATTGATTCTCCCCCCTCCCCCCCCCCCATGTTTTTGTCAATCAAATATCGCAAAATGTGTTGTAATTACTGTTTCAGTCTCACTATTAAATATTGATGCTACGAATGTGTCTACAGCTGGCTTTTCCTTTTGAACCATTCTGAAATATTTATAGTCAAGACATTTCCATGCAATTGTAAGTAAATATGCGTATAGCAATAGTTATATAGTATCATGATATGTATAGTATCGTGACCTTGCTGTTATGTTTCACCCATATATAGTGGTAGATAATGATTACAAGAAGTTTCTATTTGGCACCCTCTCCCATGGCTGTCCTAGTGACTGGTGCAGATAGCTGGCATTTGTGTTCTGATCTCAAGGATCTTGCTGGTTGGTAGTTGCTGATGAGCCTTCAAATATTGTGGAGAGTTTTTGTCATTTAACGTTGTATGTTATGCAGAGGATCATGAAGATTATTCTTTGTTTGCTGTCTTCTGTACAAGATGTAGATTGCTCACTGTGGCTGTACCTGATACATGTGAATTGCAGTTGCAAAAAATACCATATTTTACCTTTTTTTGACAAAGATGAAAATTTTAATACTGAAGGGAATGGGGCTAGTACAGATTCCTGTGGGCAAGTACAAATTTCCCCATTGGTTTAGCATAACAAGGGCTTTATATGTTTACCCAGGTTAGTAAAGCTTTTGAGTTTAGTTCCATCCCTCCTGTTGGAAATGCCAGAAAAATGCTTTTCTGGCTTCCTTAAATAAATGTGAATCAATGGGTTATGAAAGTAGCATACCATATTCGATGTAATAAGCGCCCAGGGCGCACTCAAAATTAGAAATAGGGGGCTCTTATTAGAATATTATTTTGGTGAAGAAAAAAAAAAGAGTTGAAAGATCGTAAATTTCGTGGTTTATGCTGACAGCCTGAAATGTTTATATATGACAGATATAATTTTCCAGGATTTAATTGCCAATAATTAAGGGTGCATATAACACATGAGTGCGTATTATACACGAGAATAAATAAGTCTTGTGTACATTGATCAATTGGAAGGTGTGCAATGGGGATTGTTCACTTGTGGGCGCTTATAAGAGTGGGGCGCTTATTCGACGATTACGGTATATCAAAATAACACAAATCTACCTTACTAGCCTGTTGTTCTGGACACTGTGATTTGTCGAAAAAGGTACTTTTACAGGTAAAATGGTGATAAACTTAGAAAATATTTCGCACATACTTCATTAATATGGTTATAATGAAGTCCCTTGCACATATTTCTGTAGTCCGTTTCATACCTCCATCATTGGATGTTGTTGAATAAGTCTGAACTTATTTTGAATTTTTCTCCTGTAATATTTTTGATAGGACTCCTTGTGACTGAAATACTTCAAACCACAAGTTGGTAGATCGGTAGTAACTTGATATTATAATAAATCTTGTGTGAACGGGCAAAAAACATTTTTCTACCATTTTGAACAGTACTTTAGTAACATCATTGAAAATGCCTTCACCATGTTCCTTCTACTCCAGGGATTAATTCCTGACAGGCATTTATTGTACCTAAACAATGGTAGAAATAAAAAGCTAGTTACAGACATTAATTGTTATTTTAATTATTCACATCAAGATTTGTGTATGCAATGCTATTTTGTAGAATTAACAGAAATAGCCACACCTTTAGATTTGCTCTTGATTGATGTTTGAGTTGCCACTGACTGCTTCCTGACGTAATCGTATAGTGATAGCATAGTGATTTAGATCAACATACCTTGTTTCAGTTAAGAGCTAGGTTACCTGTAGATTTTGCCATTAAATTGAATTTTGAACTGAATATGGATTAGTTTTACACTGGACATCAGATGTGACAATGGTCAGATATAGAAATGGTCAAGATTTCCAGATCTCAGCTGTCACTAATATTTGAAATTCACTCTTCCGTATTTGCCCAAAATGTATTTCCACACATAATTTGAGTAGTGCAGTAACCACAACTCTTCATTTTTGTAAACTACAATTGTACATAACATAATTTCAAAATGCCATTTGACACTGATCGAGAAAGAAGTACCTGTCTATGAATGCGGTTCTGTGGTATTGCTGCTAACAAATCGGCTGTTTCAATCAGAGGCTGTGATTGTGATTTGAAACCTGTTTGACTAATAAGAATCAAGTATTTCCCAATTCGTGGTAAACATTGCTACCCAAAAGTAAAGTATTGACTGCACCTACCGTGAAACAAATTGATTCCTTCTGTTTCAGGTAGCTGAATCTCTGATCTTTTCTCTTTTGTTATCAACCTAATGTACAATTCTTCTCCTTGCAGCAGGCTACCCCACAGTGGACAACAGCAGCTGCTGCAGCAGCAGCCAATCAGTGGCGTTGGGCACCGCAAGTATGTACAGTTGCTTCTGTCTTGTGAACTGAAGTTGGAAAAGAGTTTACCACTGTTAAAGAAAAACAGACCACTAAATCATTTGTTTCCCCCTTTTACAATTCATGATATGGTAGAAGAATCAGTAGAAGGTCCAGTCAGCCTTTATAAGGTTCGTCTTGATCTAGTTGTAACATTAGGATTTGGTAGACTGGGGCTTGAAAATCACATGTACCCTACCCATAATTATTTGTTTGTCAAGATCGACGACATTGGGTACATGTTTATCACTAGCACACCAATGAGGTGACAAAAAAATCACTGCAGTGAACTTCATGATTCAAACCAGCCAATAGCACACACGTATCTGTCCATATTGCATCCAGAAAACGCTCTTTCCACAGACCACAAACAAATCTTTGCTCTCACAATCTCACTGGTACACTGCATAGGCACTTGATCACAATAGCTTGTCTAACATAATGAAATCAGATTCAGAACATACAAAACAACAGTCACACTTTTTTCACATGCTGGCATCGAATGTCATGAAATCATAAAACTGATATGTCACAAAAATTAACATTCCCTGAAGTCATACAATGCTGACCTGTCTTCAGCTCAAAAATATTTCCTTTGGCAAGTACCAGTAGGCTCATTCCTAGTAGACCCGTGAAGATCTTCAGCAAACCATGCTTGCTGTAAAAAGCGAGGTGACTAATTGGATCGTGGTTGATCATGTCATTGTATCCCAATTGCGTGGACCGATGCTCATATGTCAATCACTGGATTGTCTGGTCCAGGCTCGATTATTTACAGACAGCCGTCATACAGCTGGAATATTGATGAGTGAGGCATTAGGCAACAACAACAAAAAATCATTCCTACTAAATCAACCATTATTTTACTATATTTGGTCACATCGCTTTGTATACACATACATCATCAAACATGTTATTTATATATATTTTCGCTCGTCAAATTTACAATTTCTTGTGTCATTGACATTGGACTTGCATATTTTCCCACCACAAGCAGTGCAATAGATGTACCAGATTATAATGAAATTAACAGATATATATTTGGAGATTAATCTAACAATTTCATTTTGAAAAACTATTTATTTTGAAATACTTTAGTATTTATGAATTGAATTGAGACTTGGTGTACATGTCTATAAATGTCACAAAATCTCATATTAATTCATAGACAATCAAAGATTTTTGCAAGCAGTTATCAACGATAGACGCAAACAATTTAGGACAGCTGGCAGTTAGTAGTTTGTAACTCATTCATAAAAACAACACATGTGACATCACACTTGGTAATTATTTCATGCATGATTTAGAAACACAGAACCATCCCTTTAAAGTGAATTCAATATAACTTACCCAATACCTATCATATGTCATGACTGTCAGATGCCAAGGTCGCTTTACAGGTCATTCAGGGATGAAATGGCTTGTAAATAGTTTCAGTTAGGAAGTATTGTTAGTATGTTGTGGGAACTTCTTGTTTGTAACAAGTAATGTTCTTGCATTTGATTGTATGATGTTGAAGGTCAAGGTCACTTGGTAGGGAATACACATGCTAAAAACTTGTGTAATCATGATTGGAACATGACAAAACTTATATGCATGCGATTGAAGGTCAAGGTCATTAAACCGGAAGTGCTTATAACATTGTTATTACGGTAGCTAGAGGCATAGACTTTCCTCTTTCAAACTTGTACTGCATTGGGCTTGTATTTTCCCCAACTGGAAGTGATGTTATTAATCAAGAATTGCTTATGATATTGCTATTCAGGTAATCGGAGCCATATACTTTTCTGCTTCAAAGTTGGTCTTCATTGGGCATTTGACAGTTTGGGGCATTCAGGAAAAGGTGGAGATGGGGCAAACTCCTTTCTTGTTACAGTTTGTTTAACTTGTTATTTCTAAAACTAAGTTACTAATTTGGCACCAAGCATCATACATATTCATAAATTTGGGGTTGGTACAAATAAATCTTTTTCCAAGTATATAACTTCAAATTTCTTTCCTACAGAGTCCTGGCCAGCCCGCACTGACAGCAAATCCAGCATACGTTTATGCAACAATGCACACGGCTCCTGAACTTATGTATGCGACACAACCTCCACCTCAAGCATATGGGACAGAACTGGCTGACGCAGCCCTCATGGAAGGAGCCCCAGTCGAGGTAATCCCAAGTCACTATGCGTTGTGATGACCACATCGCATTACATAGCCTCAGGCTTGCAGCTTGCAGCTTGCGGTAACACGTTTTGGCCGTGGCGGAAAATGGCACAGAATATGCAAGGATAACTGATGCTACGGAAGGGAAGCACCTAACGACTTTGTTATTTTCTGTCTAGCAGCTTGCCATTCCATGATGTTTATGTGTCCACTGGTTGTGTGTCTTGTTTGTCAACTGATGAGCTTTAGGTATTTTGCAAATATACCTCGTTTTTCCCAAGTTCCCTACAAGTTGTATGGTATTTCAACTACCATGATTAGGATTTTCCTTTGGATAATGAAATCTTGAACCTGTTTTGAATTAGGACATTAGTAGATAATTCTTTTGTTGTAAGGTCTTTTGAGAATTCCACAAAAACTTCTTCGCTTAACAAGAGACTAGAAAGAATATGTGTATGGTGTGTTGTTAAGTTACGATATCAGATTAAGTATATATATTTATATATGCCAGTAAATGCTTTTACAAATGTAGCAATTCTTATCAGTGTATGTTATTGTTTTTACACAATTTGTTATGGACAGTTGGGTGCTTCCTTTATCCTTACTCCACAAGTCCTTGGATATGAAATATGCAAGTTATTCTCTAGTAAATAAACTTATGATGCTCATGTATGTTTTTAATGATTCATGCGATATATATTTTTTTTCTCCAAAAGTGAAAATATTGTATACATTATGTGTCATTTTTTATCATGGTAAGTTTTCAACATGGCTGTTGGGTCAGTTGTCGTCCATAGGTATGTGTTGCAACATAGATGCCTACCATTCACGATCGATCTCCATAGAAACACTGGGTTTTGAAAGATTGCAGTGTACTAGTAAAAGATGCATATAATCTTGTCTTGTACATCTTTTTCAGCTTCTGTGAAATTTGTCTGTTGTCTTGTGTCCTTTTATGATCTAAACTGTTACTGGCTGATATATGTTGATGTGTATATATTGCTGACTTAATGTGTCAACAAGTGGTTTAAACAGTGATTAAAGATGTGTATCCTGCATATATCAAAAGAATATTACCTGTTCAATATTTTAACATCTAGGAATCTTCAGTTTTAACCTTTTGTCTTTGCTACTAACTTGTACTTAGATTTCTGTTGCCCATACCTTTGAGCAAAGTATTTCTGTGAACTCTTAGGATAAGATTCTAGCTTAAAATTTTTAATGCCATCATTTATGAAGCTACATCAAGTCGTCTTTTATCAGTTGTTCTGTTCATGCTGTTGATGGCTTATAGAAATTTTAGATTAAAGGTCACAATCACAACCATTTGTTTTTGTGGAACATATTTGCTCTTATGTATGGGACTTTGTTGAGGGTTAGACTGATGCACTATTTCATCTATTATTTATCAAATCACTTGTTGATTCAAAGCACAAATACTGGCAGTATCATTCTTTGAAATATAACCAAGTACATGTTTGGGCAAATAATTGAAACAAGAAGTATGCTGTCCTACATCAAAAGATTGTCTAGGGAACTACATCCCACAAGTTTGCTTGTCGAGATGCTTTGAATAGGCATGTAGCCAAAGAAAAACTTAGTGTTTGCAGATTACTTTCCCATGAAGAGTGTTTTAGGATATCATATTTATGAAATAGTTGTCTTTATTTAGAAAAAAGTTAAATTTTATGCCTTGATATATTTACGTGAAATTGTCAGTGTGTTAAATAAAATTTATACAAACAGTACCAACACTTTTACGATATTTAAGAAATATTTAGGATTTTATTCTGTGTAACTGTAAGGTACTCTAATCATTTCATTGTCAATGTCTATCATGGATTTACATGGTCATTTTCCACTACATTTACCTTGTATGTTACTGAGACAGTGTAAGGTGTTTGTCGGTTATCTTGCCAGTATTGGTGCTCTGACTGTTATCATGTCTTGTTGAGCAGTCCATTTGACTGCATTTATGGAGACAATGCATTAGGACATGTACCTCCTCAAATATGTTTTGGAATAAAAAAAATTCAAACAGTCCACCTAAATGCATTAAATATTCAAACAGATAATCTCCCAAAATTTTGTTCACAAAATTGGGCACTGTAGCATTGGTTTAATCTTATCCCGATTATGTGGCATTTAGTGGTGGTATTGGAGAATGCATTGCCTACATAGCATGGTGTAATGACTAGTGTTTAAAGCCATCCCCCCTTTCTCTTCAGGGTACTGGTGTGGTGCCAGTGCAGCCACCGTTGGCCAATCACATGCATGTTACTGACGCTAACAGTCTCGCCTCTTCTGAGCAGACCCCTGTTACAACCGTGCTTCCTATGCATACTCCTGCATCCAATACTGCCACCACTGTCGCTAACTTGAAGAGAAATGTAGCAATTACTAGGCGCTCTTACAGTAGCCCTACAATTCTTGTGAAGCATGGCCACAAGGTACAGCGAGTGATGCTGTCGCCTGGCTCTGTGTACGGTGGGGCCTCCGACACAGGGGAACATTGTCATGAGGGCATCATGAAGGCCCCACATCTTAATCCCAGCTCCAACTGAAATATGTAACAGAAAAAATGACAGCTCAATTGAAATTATTTGTAAAAGAAACTCATCTTGTTGAATATTCTTATGCAAAGGCATTGTGTTATGTGTTTCTGTGGAAAGTTAAGAATGATGATTACTGTAACTTTTTAACAGAACGTTTGGTCAGTTGTACTCATGACTGTAGCTGGAGGGATTAAGAGATAATTTTGGATCCAACACTTTTAAGAGTGCTAATTTTGTCGTCTCGACGTGAATAAATATGATGACCTTGTACCCAGTTTAAGATAAATCATGAATATGACACTTTTATTTTTGTACATTGAATGTGAATATTTGAGCCAGTGCCTTTTCCAGGCTGGGCAGCCACACTTGTCTATCATAGGTGAAAAGCAACACTGAATACCTCAGTACACCTGCATTGAGATTTGTTGTAACAAGTCTAATGGCCAAATCAGGAAGTCATTTGTTTACCCTTCTATCCGCTTCTCCTTGTATCCTTAAAATAATGTTTGACAATGTTAATGGAATACTGAAATCAATGTTTTCTACTATTTGTTGAACAGTTGTCTCCCAGGGAAAGTACTGATATGTATGTGAATAACTGTTTTCCCAAGTGATATGGTACTAGGTCTACTTGAAACGGCTATAAAAGTTTCAGAGACTTCAAATGTTGGTGTTAACAGAAGGTAGCTGTTGGACATAACAGGAAATATTACTGTGGTGAAAAGTAGCTTAACAGCAGAATAGGAGAAATGGCATGTACCTCATTTGAAAGTGGTAAATAGTTAGGGATGGTGGGTCATGGGGATGTTATTGTTTAATTTATCAAGTCGGTGAAATCAAATGCAAGGCTGTGGTCTTAATCAAGTATATTTTCTGTCAGGCAAGTAAGTTTTAATAATAAGACCACAGTATTAATGGCAAACTCTTTAAAATAATGTAGAATCATGGTAAAAGTGAATTTTAATAAAGTTCAACTGTTTCCACACGTGTTTACTGAAATTTGCTCTGAGAATTACCAGCTGGCAAAGATTTTGTGTTTGGCAAGGGTAGACAAATGTTCCCGTTAAGATTTGCGCCTGCGTTGTTACATCATGCAATCATACATTGTGCCATCAGTGTGCTGTAGGGGTGTAACGGAACAATGATAGATTTATCATATGGCGACAGTAGCTGATACAATATATTAACAAGGGTTGCATGACATGAACAATACTCTAAATATTATCCATTTTGTATTGAAGACATGCCAGACCTAAGTTTAACATTTTGTAAGAGTATCAAATTTTTGGTCTTTGGTATTGCAACCCTTGAATTGCAAGTTGAGAGTGAGTATTGTATCACGCCCCCAGCCAACATCGTTACATCCCTCGTGTGCTGCTCCTTCCATTCTTCCATCATTTGTTTGTGTTACGTTCTGTCACTGTTTTGTTTCATGTCCCACATTGTCCTGTGCAGTAGTTCTCGACACACTGTTTTGTAAACTTGCTTTTATAGCTTTCATATTTGCATGTTGTGCAAATTCATAGCATATGCATTTATTTTGTGTTTGGTGAACATACCACATTTTGACTGTTTCAACATCTAACATTTGAGTATTGTGTTTTTACCGGTCGGTTGTGCTTCAAAGTATTTTGGCTATATATCATGGCCGATAATCAGCTTATGTATACACCGGATACAAAACCGTCAGCTAAATTATTTGACAATATCTACAGAAATAGATGATATATAATATATATTTTGGAAGTTACTTATTATCATATTGAGGGTTTATCTGTCATTTTCCTCATCTCTATGTTTATCATGATACCACATCTTGAATACTTGTATTATTTATTTCATTTTGTTATGTTTTCATGCCTGCTTCAACAGGGTTCTGTTGTTTGGAATGTTGTATAGTATCCTTTATACAGTGGTGCAGCCATACTCAAGAGACAACAGAAAACTTCACAGGATAGAAGGATTTTCAGTTAAGTCAAGTCACTTCTCAGGTTGGTAGAATATTGAAAATAGTCACCATGAAAATCAGAATCATTTATGGACCTAGATAACATTTGAGCCTAAAACAGCATACATTTTGAACAATAAATACTCCAGTCTACACCTAAAACAATATTCTTGCAACATAATGAATACATTGTGTTTGTAAGTTGTTTTGGAAAATTAAGTACTGTGGGTAAATTATTATTGTCACGTGTCATTTTCTTGATCTTACATATTATTACTGATATTGTTCATCGAAAATGATGTTAGAATCCTAGTTATCCAAAATCAGAGCTACTGACATACCACATACTTGGAGATATACATATATATCTATATATCTATAAAATTAACAAAAGATAAGAAGTCAAGTCCATAGACAGACAATCCCTCTTTCCCTGGCTGCACCACTGCAAGGAAATCCATCAGTCCAAGTGTCTAGTCTTTCCGTGTCAGTTGTTTGTGCTCTGAGGGCACCTGGTTGTGATAAGCACAAGGCTGAGAGAGGAACACTGCTTACTGGGTACCAGGTGCTAAAATCCAAACCATAAACATGCAGTCAATTTGTAATTATTGATATTTATCTCATACTTGTATGCATTGTAGCATAAGCAGACAAGTGACTTTTGGAAATATTGTTGTCATCAACAACAAAAAGATAATGGTAGGAACAATATCAAATATCTCCAACAGTGTTTTTTGGTAATCATTTTCCTGAGAGCCAGTTTCCATGCCTTGGTGTTAAAAAAATGTTATGGTCTCATCTATGTGGAATTATTTAAGTTATCTCCTTGCCTTCAGAATCGGTACTTTCTTCCATGGTAACGTAGTTATGTGCCCAATTAGTAAATATGGAACTCGTTTTGGTTTTCACCAACAATCCTGACTACATGAAATGAAAGTAATTTTCTAGGACTGACCCAACATGTAAAAGAACTAACACTTAATGAACCTACTGGGTATTATTAATTTGAAAGCAAGGAGTTAACAAGAACAAATGTTATCTTTTACTTTATATTTTATGTATTACAATGTGGACTGATATTAACCATAGTCATTTCAGGATTTGTGTTAACAGCTGTGATTTCAGGACAGATACATGATTATTACTGTAGATAGTTCAATGCCAAGACATGGCTTTGTTGAATTTGATATGTGACTTTTGTTTGTCAATAATTTGATGTATTCAGCTTTAGTGGAAGTGTTTGAGGTCTGATTGCAGAGCCAGTCCAAAGAGAGAAACTTTGACAAAAATATATTCACAGCACACTTCAGATCTTGCACCTTAACTTTTTCCATTTACTGTTTTCACACTGTTTGATTCAAAGCTAAATCAGTGATGAACTAAAAATCAGAACCACAAAGAGATATGGGCATGTTGGTGATTAAAACATTTTGGGAGACTTGTATTGTTAATTGTAGTTTTAGAATTGCATTACATCACACAAAGTTTGGAAACATGATGCCATATGGTTACAAGGTTGTGATTGATCCTGGCAATGTTTCAGAGATTTGATAAAATGTTGTAAATGATCTGTTGAAAGTTGTGAAAACAAGATATATTAGCATATTTGCACATAGCAAAGCTACTGGTATTCTTGTTTACAGTACACCTTGTCAAAGATGAATCTTGTATCAAGAATGTATGTCTTCTCTATTTAGAAAACTAAGCAGATGTGTGCCTTGTACAGCAAATTTGCGAAAGCAATAATATTGTAGTTATGTCTGGTAGTTTTAGAGTAAAAACCATGACCTCATCAGTAGGGCTGGCTCACGATCCCAAAGTGTGAAATTCAGGTCCATGTGAACATATTTATATGTTGGTCTCATTTGGTTATCTTTTGACTGCCAGACATGTTTATTAATTATTAGACTATTTATGTGACATCATCTGTAAGTTGATTCAGAATTCATTATTTGAAAAGAGAATTGTGACTAACTGACACACTGCTTGAATGCTATCTCTGCTGGCCCCAAACTAAAAGATCCATAGTTACGTGAACCCAGTATGTCAACTTCCTATTTTCCAAATGCAAAGGTTGACATGCTCATGATTTACTGATGCATTATTTCTGTTCTAACTCAACCCTGAAAACATTGTATACACTGAAGCAATAATTGCTTGTTCTTGGTTTGTAGATAAGCCGGCAGAATCTGATTGTGAAGCTTAGTCTTGTCTTTGTATGGAAATAGTTTGTAATGTCCAAAACATTTGCCTGTTTGAGGTGGGTTTTCAGTAGTTTTGTCTCATTTCTAGTCACTATAGTATTTGATTAGTCAATTGCTCTTTGTGTCTGCAGGGTTTCTTTGTTCCAACTTGAATGTACACTAGTTGTTAAACCAGTGTATTCAATGCTATACATTATTATGATATGTTGAAATTTACTTTAATTCAGATGGGTATGCTATCTATATTTATATCTTTTTTTATAGAGAATTTTATTATCAAAACATATTCATTTTTTGATGCAGACGTTTTTTGTTACCAAATGTGATCTATTTTTTAATTGTCAGTTCTGATAAGTATATTGATGTATGTTTTGATTATGATGTGGATACATGTTGATGATGACATAACACCTTTTGTATTGATTGAAATTTCAGGATCTCTAAGCATTGATTATCTATCTACATTGCTTTGTCCTGGGATTGGACAATTCAAACCATAAGCACAATTTATCTAATGTGTAATGATGTAATCAGAATAAGAATATTATATTTAATTGGAAGATATGGTTATGTTTGTTTATCAGGGTTTTGAAAATAATTATAAATAATTACAGTTGACATTTCAGATTTAGGATTTTTATGTGGCCCTGAATGTGAAATTTAAATGTTAGCCTTTGCAGCACTATGAATATATACATTCATTGATCCTAAAATACAATTTCATTACATGTTTTGAGGGAAATTATAAGAAATTTGAGACATAGGACTAAGACCTTAATAGAAATGATTAATTTTGTTGTATCCAAAGCTGCGTTTTGCAGTTGTTCCTGACAAGGAAAGATATTTTGGCAACCATGTTTGTATTGTGACAGATACTCCCTGTGATCATCTAGTCACCACTGTGTATGCTAAAAGTGATTGTTGCATCTGTACATCAGAAATTGGTTGTGACTGTAAGAGTGTCTGTAATTTGTGTACTCATTTGATGAATGTGACAATCTTCAAAGAATAAATGTGTTCATGAATATATTAGTTTATTTCTTTTCTTTTTTTCCACTGATGGTGGCTTTATTGCTCTTGTAAGTCAATTCCCTAACATTTATCAACTGCAATTTGTGCATCATGCCTTGTCATTTGCACAATGTCAAAGCATATATGCTGTATGTATTTACAGTTAAGTGCATAAAATAACTACTTTAATGCCATCAAAAAGTACTCACAAATGTATCAGTTAAATGACTGTAGACTGTACATAGTGACATCAGTCACGGATCACTTTGGGATGCAGTTCTGTGATACTGTATTTGCTGATTTGGCATTGCATCATGACAGAAATTTCATCAAGTCCCTGTAAGGGCACTTTAGGCTTTGCTCAGGCCGAGATCAGCCAATGTAATTTGCATTCTCAACCATGCACTTGTGACAAATATTGGAGACTCCATACTTTATGTACCTCCAATATGCCACTAGGAAATTTATCGGACATCATTTGATGACATTAAAAATTGAGGTCACTCAATATTGACAAGAAATAAAAGACCTGAGTATCTATGATTGGTATTTGATGAAACTTAGTATACATGATCGCTGATCCATAACTCTGTATGAGGTCAGGGTTAATTCATGAAAAGATCATTCACTCAATCAGAAGGTATTGTCAGTATTGTATGGAAACAATATATTTATAACAGAAATTTTTTTCAAAAAGGAATGTCGGTTAACCTTGGATTTTAAGGTGGGCCCCAGAGCCCATAGGCCTTGAATATTGTGGGGGCATGTTGTAAATGTGTATGCTCTGGTAATGTCTATAATAAGTAAGCATAAGCTGTCTACACAATTAAATCTATAACTGCCTTCCTTTATGACGCCTGTGGACATCAGACATCAGAAAACCCACTCGGAGCATGTAAGACCACATACAATTGCTGCAAAATGTATTTTTTCAAACAGCGGCTTCTGTGCATCCGTCAGTGTGGGTTACTGGAGTGAAAAATCAAAGTTAAATCAGTACTTTTACAAACTTGGGCATAGCTTCTTGCACCCTTGCAATACTGCCTTAAACATTACCCCACATCTCCCAGACACAAGGACAACTATTAAAATGAAAATCATAACGGTACTACAGCATTTATTAAGTTTCAAGACTTCAAGCATGTCAAGATTGGACCTTTCATGATTTTGGAACAGTCAAATTTCTTTTATGATAGCAAGACAACTGAAGTGGAACTTTCCTTCAAAACACTTCAAATTTCAAAACAGCAGAAAATAATCAGTGTACTTCACAGTCTGAATAGTTAAACTTTTTCAGAAAAATTAAAATGTCAACATTGTCGGGGGGCGGTGATGCCCTCTGGGTTCAGACAATGTCTCCTGTTGTTGACTCTTAACAGAGATGGAGTCTTAGGGGGTAGATGACCAACACAACAGTACGTGCTCTGTCCACCTAACATGATCTACAATGTATGTTTCAAAGTTTGTAAAAAGATTAGAATAGTAGTTTATGATTCATAATGTAAAAAAGATATTTATCGAATATTATGCGCTAAAAAAAACAACATCTAAACCCTTCCACAAATTCAGGTGAACGAACAGGTATAACAAACTTCATCCTTAAAAATGTGAAATTTGATATAAAACATTTCTGGACATGATGATTTACCTTTTAACTTATATTTCCTGCTCTCATAAGCACTGATTTATATACGGAGAGTAAAGTTATCGTGTGTATTTTCTCGTAACCTTAGCCGGAAATAGCACTCAGCTGTATACCCATTTTTGTGCCAATCTACCGGTAATTCGGTTACAAAATGCCCAATGATACAACTTCAAAGAATTTTGATGAAATGGGTGAAGGAATTTTATCTGAAATTATTGTTCAATCAGGAACAATATATATAGAATACTAAACTCGCTTCCGTGTAATACCAATTTTATGAAACAAGTGAATACCACAACTATTCACGAGTTTCATAAAATTGGTTTTACACGGGAGCGAGTTTAGTATTTTTTTTAATTCTTGTCATTTATAACGTTTTTAGAATTACACTGTTGAGTATGAGTAGGCTGACACCTACACGATCCACGGCATAGTTCAATTGAGCATAATACTTCAAACACGTCAAAAGTTGAAATGTATGAATTTAATACCATACAACAGTCCACCTTTAGAATTCACAAAATTATTGTAGGGCTAAGACTATCGCAACTCACAAACTTTAACTTAGACTAACGACTGTCGTTGCGCTACAATACGATTGCCTTGGGGAGCGGGCCTTGCACCTCAAAGTTTACAATGTCACAATACCCGATGACATAATTTGTGAAATTTTGTTGCAAGATCCATCGGCAAAACAATGCCATGTGACATCAGCCTAGCAACAAGGTTGCTGGGGTCATTGAGTGTGCATAAGCTCCTCTCAGTGATCTATCAACTCCACACATAATGTCGTTGAATAAGCCTAGGGATGTTGAGAGCTTTCAATATTTGTTCGTGAAACATGTTCCAAGTACATAAGCACGCGTTTTGGTATTACACAATGTGTAAAACAGCTGTATGTTTATTAAACGGGTGATCTCTTCACGGGCAAGTAATAAATTCCAATAACGTCATGTCAGTGTAAAACTTGAGCAAATTAAAAATGTAAGTACATTTTGGGAGCCATGCGCTATATTTGAGTTTGAGCTATATTGAAGGATGCAATAGCGAGGAAACTCTGTACTTAAATTGGCCCACGTGTATCATGTATCATATCGTGGGTCAAGTATCGCAATGCATCCGAATATCAGTGTATTGTTTCACCCTTATTAATTATTATTGGAATCAGAAACGCAGCCTATATCTAACCCTGTAATGTTCTGGAAGTTGAAAGGGGCGGTCAGGTAGCCTGGTGGTTAAAGCGTTCGCTCGTCACGCCGAAGACTGGAATATTGCTAAAAGCGGCGTAAAACCATACTCACTCACTCACTCTGGAAGTTGAAGGTCAAAGTTACTGGTGTGAAAATGTCCCCAAAAGCTAAAGTACACTATATCTTGAGCTGTTTAGAATTTGATGAAATCTTATGTACATGATATCTAGGTTGGGTCTTATTTGAAGATTTCTTGGCATTGAAAGACTTGAGGACAGTATTATTCAAACTATTAACAGTGTGCAGCCACGGGTGACTCAGAAGTCCTGAGCCCATAAGGATGTCCTGTACACTCCTAAAACATTTACAAAGTTCAATACTTTCCATGCTTACAAAAGCAAAAGCACAAGTCAGCATGTTTCTGCAGGCATCAAAGTGACTAGGTACTGTAAAAATGGACAAAATTGCCTACCACGCTGTCAAGTATCTCAAGTAACGTCTATCCATGTGAACATGGTGTCAACTTTAGGGGATAGTGTTCCCTCCTTTGCCACTGTTAAGGAGGTGGGCAGTGGAGGGGAAGAGAGAGAGAGCCTCAAAGAACCAAGATGAGGAAAACCTGTGACTGCTACCACTAAGGAAAATGTTGATAAAATATAAAATATATGATTATGGATTATAGACAACTCACCACATGTCACAAAGCCAATACAGTAGACATATCTCATTAGAATTGAGAACAGTCTGAAGAATGATGCTTATGAGTTTATTCTAGCCCTTGGTGATGGTTTTCTTTGATTCCAATGGAATCTTCCTGCAGAACTACCTCCTGACTGGTCAGACCATGAATAGCCAATATTATGCTAATCTCAGGCAACTGCATGAGAATATCAAGGCTAAACATTGTGGGAAAACTAAACTAAAGGTGTGTTTAACAAGAATCAAACAAACTCTGAATATAAATCCAGTTTGTTCAATATTTGTAATTTCGAAGACCCATTTTTGAGGTAAACAGAGATGATCTGTGGTTATTCCTGTTAAAATCAGGCAAAGCTAACCAAACTTGGTTGACTTTAAAAATCATGTTTAGACCCATCTTGATGAAAAGTCAGCTTGTGATACTTTGTTGTATAACGCTGCACTCAGCAATATTCCATCTGTATGACAGTGGTCTGAAAATAATCAAATCTGGACCAGACAATCCAATCATTAAAATCAATCTACCCAATTGGGAGATGATGACATGCATCAACAAAGTCACAGAGCTTGACCCACTGATCCCATTTGTCACCTCTTGCGACATGCATGGGTTATTGAAGATCACTTCTAGCCTGGTCTTCAAAGGGGCATTGCTTATAAATACTATCCATTTCAACTGTTCATAAGACAACACTTTGCATATTATGTTATTGTTTATTTGATATTTACAAACTGGTATTCACACTGATATACAATGCTGAAAAGCAATCAGCAGTTTCACAAAAGGAATAAAATCAAACAATTGTAATATGACTTCACTTTAAGCCTCAATATCACAGGTATGCTATTATATTCAGTATGCACGTGACTTTATGAACATAGTAAAATATGTTCACATCTGCTCTGCTGCAGAAGAAAAAAACAGAAATGACTATAACCTTTGGGTAACGCTTTTGGACCTGGTTTTGTATTATTGATATAAAAATGCAGCAATAGTAATTGGTTGGCACTAGTCATATAGTCCATGCCAAACTGCCCGATAGTTATCATAAGGACTAGTAGAAATTGGCCAATTTAAAGGGTATTGCTATAAGGTGTCATTTTGATGACTTGTGGACTAAACATGTTAGCTTCTATCGCTGAAATGCATTAGGTAATACTTCTAAATGATGTTTTGAAACACGACTTGTACACGTAAAAATAAACTGAACAAGAAAAGGTTGGTATCATGAATATTTTTGGGGATATTGTGTGTGGTAATTGTACACACTTCCATAAAAATATTAATGACCCCTAACTTTTCTTTGTTCAGTATAAAGGCTGCTTATGATATCATTAATAAAAGTAGAGTACAAATACTCAGCGGTTTGATATTTATCAGTGCAAGGCATGATATTGATTTCTATGTACCACCATTTTTCTGCATACTTGTATAATATATTCAATATATAATTTCAATAGATGGAAATAAGGTTGGACGGACAGCAGAAATGTTAAGAACTGACAAAATAACAGTGCATCAAAGTGTTTTGACAGTTGTTTTACAGCTGACATGAAGTTTTGTCTCTATCATGTGTGAGACAGCATGTACACACGCTTCTGAATCCACAATCCTTGTTCCTCCACTGTGGGTAGGCTGACATGATGCACCACACTGCTGTGACCATGTAGTTCTGGGTTCGAAGAGAGGAACAGAGGACATGGAAACATGGTACTTTGGGAATCTGATGTCTGCACATTTGTTTCGATTGGCTTGAACCAAACTGGTGGAAGCTGCTGAGTCTCCGGACCACCAGGTATAGGCTCCATAATGGCTGCTCGGGTACCGTCCCAGGAGGCATTGCACAGCTGGAGGCAGGTGATGAACACCCCTGCTGGTGGAGGTGCAGACGGACACAACCCACTTGGCATTACCTGCAACAACAAATTTCCATAATGATAATAATACATCCTTAACACATTCATACGTCTCTCCACAAAAGGGGCGGTGGGGCAGCCTAGTGGTTAAAGAGTTTGCTCATCACGCCAAAGACTTGGTGTTCACCATGATATTGGTGGAATATTGCCAAAAGTGGCATAAAAATCATTCCCTCTCTCAGTCCCCTGAAAGTAACGAATGTGGATACAATTCTTGTCTATTTTGAAGCCTTTTGTGAGAGCTCTTTCCTATACAGTCGAATGGAATGGTATGAAATCTGTCAGATTGAACATTTTGTGTGTACCTGAAGATGGCCCTTCTGTTTCGCAGCCCTTGCAACATTTGAATCCTGTCTGACTACCCCGGTACCCTATATTCCAAGCTGTATATATCCCTGCTGATGTGTGGTGAATTTAATGTTTTTTGCATGCAGTGTTATTTCCAAAGCATAGAGTAAGAAATGTGTGGCTTGTATGAAGGATGGAAGAATGTAAGTCATAATGGAAAGAATAAAGTCTGAGACAAATGACGGGAATAGAACCCGGGTCTTCGGCGTGACGTAAGGATAATGGTAGTAATACTCCAGTTGTATGGCGATTCCATGTTGAATATCGTGTTCTAAGTGCATTATTACCTCGGTCAGTTGATCAGTGTGCACTCATTTCATTCTCATCTCCCTGGGGAGTATACAACCCATGCTGCCTGAGGCACTAGGGTTACAACAACATTGCCACCACAAGCTACTGGTTACCCATTCACTGCTGGGTCAACAGAGGAGACACCACATGTGTTACACATGCTTCAGTGTGAGGCAGGTCACCAAAGCCTAAGAAACTCTCAGGAGCCAAGCTGCTGAACACGGTCACCAATCCAAGAACACTCCCTGGGCAACATTGCTTAACTTCACCTGATGTGACCCGGGCGCTGTACACAGGTGGTGAGGTGAGGTGAAATGGGGTTTAACGTCACGTCCAAGATTATTGCACTTATATAGCGACGTGCATGCACATGTGCGTGTGTGGCTGCTTGTGCTAGTCCGGACTGATGCCTATTTATAGTGCTAGCTCACTGAGATAGCATGCCGCAGTTTAACATGAATACCCCATTCAGACACAGTATACTGACTCCGAGCCGACCAGTCCTTGTTTTAGCCCCTTAATGCCGAGCGCCAGACAGGGTAACAACAAGTACCATCTATTAACGTCTTTTGGTATGACGCAGTCGGGGATGGAACCCTGGACCTTCCGCTCTCCGGGCGGACGCTCTACCACCAGACCACGGAGGCGGTCGCTTTGTACACAGGACCACATGCTACCATATAATAACTATGGCCTAAACTGTCTCAACAAATTCAGGTTTTATCATTTGTGGGAATATTGGCAATGTGGCAAATTTGAGGCTCATCATTTCAGAGGTTTCTGAGAACATAGACAGTGGACATAAACATGGAATAAACACATGGCTTAAATTTGAACCAGTTGAATGTTACAGAGATTTGTTTAATATTTCCAATAAAAACTACCCTATATATCAAAATAGCTAGGATCTACTGAGCCCTTACATGCTAAAATAATTTATTCATTATCAGCAATATTCATTCAGCTTGTTTAGTTTGAATGTAGACTGAATCATCTGTACTCTTCAATATTGGAGCATCTGGATTGAAGATAATTTTTATTAATTCCTTCTGTACTCAAGAAGGATCAAGATATAGGTTAATGAAAATGATAAAATTACCCACGCCCTTCTGGTAGGAAACTGTAGCACTCAAGTCATTTGCAAACATAAAACCTCATCTTCACAAAGTTGTTTAGGATTATTAACTTTGTCTGTGTAATATACATGTTTCCGGCAGAAAGAAAAAATATGAATGTATATTACTAATTTTCACCAGGAAGCAAGTATCACCTGCCCAGATTTCACCAACTTCTAGAATATTCCTCAACTTCTGAACTAACAGTGTGTACTTTTTCCTCTATTGTTGATCAAAGCTAAAACAATTTCACACCTGAGAACACATGTGATGGTATTCCCATCAGACAGATAGGTCTCCCACTTAATATCTCAACACTGAACTAATCTTGCAATATCTCGTATGAGCAGTGGTAATGCACACAAAATATAGTCCCCTTCAGGAACAATTTCATCAAGCAAAATTTATTCACTCACATCTATTAATTTAACATGGGAATGATGTAGTCAACCCCAATGTCTTCAATAGCATCACAGCTGTCTTGTTGCTACTAAAACATTTCGCCCTTGTAAGAAACAATTGGGCTGAACCGGTTACTTGTTTTACAGGTTTGCAGGTAACCTTTTAGCCATTAAAAACAATTAATTTTAAAAATCCATTACTGGAAAAAATTGTGTCTAGCAAGCTTTATCTGAATATTTACAGTTACATTGACATTTCAAATATGCCAGGGTTAGAAATTAGCACTAGCCTGCTAGCCCGGGGTAAGTACAAATTCTTGTGGGCTAGTAAATCAGCATTTTAATTATTAATAATTAATTAATTCATTTCATTTCTTTCTGTCTATTTGGGAGGTAAAAACCTGTAAAATAGCTGGTTTGACCTGCAGAACATTTGTATTGGTCTGACCTGTAAAACAGTTGTATTGGTCTGACCTATAAAACAGTTGTATTGGTCTGACCTGTAAAACAGTTGTATTGGTCTGACCTGTAAAACAGTTGTATTAGTCTGACCTGTAAAACACTTGTATTGGTCTGATCTGTAAAACAGTTGTATTGGTCTGACCTGTAAAACAGTTGTATTGGTCTGACCTGTAAAACAGTTGTATTGGTATGACCTGTAAAACAGTTGTATTGGTTGGACCTGCAGAACATTTGTATTGGTCTGACCTGTAAAACATTTGAATTGGTCTGACCTGTAAAACAGTTGTATTGGTCTGACCTGTAAAACAGTTGTATTGGTCTGACCTGTAAAACACTTGTATTGGTCTGATCTGTAAAACAGTTGTATTGGTCTGACCTGTAAAACAGTTGTATTGGTCTGACCTGTAAAACAGTTGTATTGGTATGACCTGTAAAACAGTTGTATTGGTTTGACCTGCAGAACATTTGTATTGGTCTGACCTGTAAAACATTTGAATTGGTCTGACCTGTAAAACACTTGTTTTGGTCCGACCTGTAAAACAGTTGTATTGGTCTGATCTGTAAAACAGCTGTATTGGTCTGATCTGTAAAACAGTTGTATTGGTCTGAACTGTAAAACTGTTGTATTGGTCCGACCTGTAAAACAGTTGTATTGGTCCGACCTGTAAAACAGCTGTATTGGTCTGACCTGTAAAACAGTTGTATTGGTCCAACCTGTAAAACAGTTGTATTGGTCCGACCTGTAAAACAGTTGTATTGGTCCGATCTGTAAAACAGCTGTATTGGTCTGACCTGTAAAACAGTTGTATTGGTCCGACCTGTAAAACAGTTGTATTGGTCCGACCTGTAAAACACTTGTATTGCACTGATCTGTAAAACAGTTGTATTGGTCCGATCTGTAAAACAGCTGTATTGGTCTGACCTGTAAAACAGTTGTATTGGTCCGACCTGTAAAACAGTTGTATTGGTCCGATCTGTAAAACAGCTGTATTGGTCTGACCTGTAAAACAGTTGTATTGGTCCGACCTGTAAAACAGTTGTATTGGTCCGACCTGTAAAACAGTTGTATTGGTCCGATCTGTAAAACAGTTGTATTGGTCCGACCTGTAAAACAGCTGTATTGGTCTGACCTGTAAAACTGTTGTATTGGTCCGACCTGTAAAACAGTTGTATTGGTCCGATCTGTAAAACAGTTGTATTGGTCCGACCTGTAAAACAGTTGTATTGGTCTGACCTGTAAAACTGTTGTATTGGTCTGACCTGTAAAACTGTTGTATTGGTCTGACCTGTAAAACAGTTGTATTGGTCCGACCTGTAAAACAGTTGTATTGGTCTGACCTGTAAAACTGTTGTATTGGTCCGACCTGTAAAACAGTTGTATTGGTCCGATCTGTAAAACAGTTGTATTGGTCCGACCTGTAAAACTGTTGTATTGGTCCGATCTGTAAAACAGTTGTATTGGTCCGACCTGTAAAACAGTTGTATTGGTCCGATCTGTAAAACAGTTGTATTGGTCTGACCTGTAAAACAGTTGTATTGGTCCGACCTGTAAAACAGCTGTATTGGTCTGACCCTGCCAGCATAGCAACAGGGTAGCTGGAGTGAATAAGGCTTATTCAATAAGCTCCTCTCAGTGATCTATCATCTTTACAGGCAATGTCATTGAATGAGCCCAGCAAATGAGAGTTTTCACATGATTGTTCACTAAATATGGGGTGTGATGGCACATGCTATGGCAAGCAGCAGTTTATATAACCATTTGTAATTTCAACATATTTTCGTTTTCGTTTTCATCCAGCTAAAGGGATTATAAATAGGAACTAATATCCATCACAGTAGTTCTTTTGATTCAGTAATTTTCATTTAATAATATGAACAGGAATTCAGGTTTTTATTTATTACAAATGTAAACATCCAAACATTGTCGGCCCATCCAATGAATATCTATCTACTGTGGGGCATCTTTTGCAATACATTCTATTAGGTTTATAAGGACCACAATGGATAAGAGCTGTTCAAGGGGCCTACCCACTTCTCATGCATATTAAGAGATGTGAGACAAAGTGTCAATTGCCAGGTATGCTTGTTCATTTTGTTGCTTTCAAATTTTCAGTTTCATTTATTCTTCACACAAAATCATTGAGGAGCAGGATAAAAGGTTTGGTGTGGAATACTTTGACTACAGGAAACTGGCATGGAACTTCCTTTCAAGCCACTTTCTCTTGCTACATTTGTTCAGTGATGCCGACTCCGTCTCGTGGCATCAGTAGTCATGCCTCCTTCCTTACTATGATCCATGCGATCCCTACAGTGTTCCCTCCCACACCTTTCTGTCACAAAATCACCCAACTAATTATTTGTTTGAATTCAACGTCTGATG